AAATTTATGACATATCTATAAATTTTTGAAATGCTTTAACATTTCCATTGATTATTTCCTCATATAAAAAGTACTTGAATTTCAAGTGCTTGAATTATGTAAACACAGCTATAATTTCCAATCAATATTGTGAACTTAAAGTTAATATTTACCGTACATATATATTACTCAAAAGTATCCTGAGTCTAAGATTCACAGTTAGAATATAGTTGATGTAATAGCTGATGGGACCCAAGAATATTTTATTTTAATAACATCATACGTTTCCTCTAAACTTGCTAAAGGCAAGTGGTAAATGGGAAAATGTGGTTGTCTTTGTGACAGATCATTTCAGTAGGCCTAAAACAGAGTTAATAATTACTATAATAAACATTCATTGAGCTAGATCTCTCCATATAACCATTTAATGTAATTACAGAAGGGTGATTATTTAAATTCATTTAGTCACACTGGTAGCTAGAAGGCAAATACCAGATGTAAATCTAAGAAAATTACATTAGTAAAAGAAGATAATTAAGGTAGTTCTTACTAATAAATTCTTAATACTTAAGGGAAAGAAAGGGGTGGTACAATACCTGACTCTTAGGGTTACCTCAGTAATCATATTACCTATGCTGAGTTCTGTCTTAATTCTAAACGGTCTTTTTGTGATAATGTATTTAATTCATAACTTAAAGACTTCAGTGCCTTTCTTTTCAATAGATACTGGTACCTACTCTAAACCTTGTAACTTCATTCCTGGCCTACTAATTAAGTCTCTGTGTTACTCTCTTTGTTATTCTCCTGGATTTTTCTTCATAAGTCAATTTTTGATACTTTCATTGCCATTCTTAAATTTGATCCAGGACATAGCTCAAACTTCTCACTGAATTTCAAGATCCACCACATGTCATTTCCACTGGAACTCTCAATTTGGAGCTAATCTCTTTACTGTGTTACAAATACCTCAAGATTGATCTATCCTTTTTAGCTTGTTTTTAGAAATCCCATCCTTCCAGGGTACATTCTTCTTGATCATATATTTCCATTCCATGAGTCTTACTATGTAACATATTGAATAAAGCAATGCTTTGGCTATTGGATTCTAGAACTTTAGTGAGCACTGGCTGATCTTAATACGAATACACTCTTTTCTTAAATTATAAACTCTCACGAGCAGGACCATGGTAAACTCATCTCTTGTTTTTCCACAGTATCTTCAGAGTATGCATTATTTGATAAAAAATTTCCAATGAGGCAAAACTGACCATTCTAGATTATATAAACATCAGCAGAAATTCAAATAAAAGGTGGATTCACAGTGTTATTAAAGGATAAAATTGAATGATGCAGAGCAGCGGCTGGTGATTTGGGATTATCTATAGCTGATCTCTTCAGTTGCCTGTAGGCTGCCAGATGAATTCATATTATTATTTTAGTTAATTATCATTTACAAAATATTCACTGACTTTAATCTATAGGAAAAGTTTTCTGTATAGTTCAAATGCATGCTCCTGATAGTAAAATGAAATGGTGCATACATACTGCAATGATTCTTTCACCAAAAGAATTGTATATGAAGAAGTAAAATAAACTATTATCTATTAAGGCCATATTACTGAGAACTTAAAGCCACAAATTATCACAAACCTAAGGATAAGAGGACTTAGGCAGAAGCTGAAAAGTCTCGCTACAAGCCTAGTAAAACACAATCAATTTGGAGTGGTGTATTTATTTGATATTTTAAATTAAATTATTAAATTGAATAAATTATTAAATTAAACTATTATATCTCTGGCATGATGAGACTTATACTCTTTAGTATGGGGGGGTAGAAATTTGAGAGGTAATACAGTCAGTCTTTAGAGTTTGAAGAGAGGGTAGACAGTAATAAATGTGAGTAAATCTGATGCAAGTTTTCACAGGCTGATTGAATGATATAGGGCAGATACCATTTCTTTAGTTTTGTCATTGCTTATTTGTTTGAATTTTCATGGGCTGATGTATAATAATCTACTTTTGACACAATGTACAATATAATAAATAATTTAATAGAATAGTAGCATGTTTTGGAAAAAAGAAATTACATAGAAATGGAGCAACTAGTGAAATCATCATGAGGAGATGACATATTAAGCTAGAGTTTGAAGTATAAGAAGAAAATAAGGAAACTCTAGTTTGAGGAATGGTATAAACAAACGTTTGGAGCAGAGAAGAGCATGGTATTTGAAGAAGTAGAGTAAGGCCAAAATAGCAGAACTCTAGGACCAGAGGTTGGAAAGCTTGTTGGAGCCAGATTAGAAACCATCTCAAGTGCCATGGAATTTGACAAAGGAGAAGCATAAAGTGTCTGAAGGAGAGGTAGGTGTAGACAACAGCTGAACTTGGGTGGTTAAGGGAGATTCCAGTAGCAGGATGAAAATTAATTTTAATTAGCCGAAGGTAGAAAGCAGAGAAAACAGGGAGAAATTTTTTATAGTAGTAAAGAACAAAGTGTCCCAGAAAAGGCAGCTAGGGATTACATGTGTCATTAACAGAAAAGAGAAAATGTGTGTGTGTGTGTGTGTGTGTGTGTGTGTGTGTGTGCTTGTGAGAGAGATTACTGAAAGGCAAAGAAAGAGACAAGAGACACAGAAGGAGGGAGGATTTGATGAGCAAGTTTTTAGAGTTTTAGTTTGGGGTGAGAGCAGCAGAAAGCTAAAGATGACAGTGATCTGAGTTTGGGGCACAATGATTAAACTATTTCCCAACCATCCTTAGGGAACAAAAATACTAAGCATTAAAGGCTTTTATGTTGCATAAAAGAAAATATTCTTCAAGAATAAATATGGGATTCTTTAAGAATAAATATGGGATTCTTCAAAGTGTGCTTCTGATCATGGTGTGAGGATTCACTCTAAGAGATATTGGACAAGTCAATACTTTCATCTGAATTTATCTTTCTTAAAATTAAACTAAAGTGCCAATGTTTTTTTCCTCTGGGGGAATAACTTGATAAATTTTATGATCTTCATCTGTGTTCAATTGCTTTACTAGAGAAACAAAGATTTTCTAGGAATTCCATTTTTCTTTTACCCCCATATATGTACCTTTCCACATCTGGTCTCTGCATCTGAACTCCTTTGGAACCTTTCTTCCTTTCTTTACTCCTATCTACATCTTTTTTCTATCAATTCTAGGATAGCACTACAATTGTTTTTAACTCTTTAGCATACAGAGAATGATGCTGTTCTTGTATGAGTAATCATATTAGTGTGAATAGACAAACAAGGAGGCTTGTCCTTTACCCGTTTTACATCAAATATCAAATATCATAGTGTACTTGTGCAGAATATATAATCCTGATAGCCATCACTGGGGAATTTTTAATTGCCAAGTGATTTGCATTTAGCATAACAATGAAGGTAAACTGTAGGGAGTGGTGTTTGAATAAATTCTCCCCCAGGATTAATCTATTAATAAGTTATTCTTAAAAATCAAGTGAGGAGGAGGTATCTGAATAAAGATACATGGTACAAATCCAGAGCATAAGTCACCCTTTCTTTTAAACTATATGTAGTGGGTGGGGGCAGTGGCTCACACCTACAATTCTATCTACTCAGGAGATAGAGATCAGGAGGGTTGCAGTTTGAGGCCATTCCACACAAAAAGTTTGTGAGACTCCATCTCAAACAATAGCTGGGAATGGTGGCATGGGCCTGTCATCCTAGCTATGTGGGAAACACAAATAGTAGGAATGCGGTTCAGGCAAGCCCAGACAAAGACACAAGACCCTATCCCAAAATAACTAAAGCAAAATGGTTAGAGGTATGGCTCAAGGAGTAAGTGCCTGCCTAGCAGACACAAGTCCCTATGATTCAAAATTAAACAAATTACTTCACATTATCAAAAGCCTAACAAACAAAAATTTGCAATATATACAACAGAATGTATATTTAAGATTATTTCCATACTTCAATAAAAAAGAAAAAGAAGAACAAAGACTAAATAATAAAGAAATAATAAACAGAGGATAGTTGTATTCATCATAAAAAGGATATTTCTTTTTTTTAGAAAATGGGAAATAACTTAAGATGTATAAAGCCATTTGTTTAAAAAACAGTAAGAGTAAAAGCAAAACATCAGATTTCATCCTCTTAGTCAATAGATTTTCATACATGTAACAATTAAATGGAATACTTTTAAATTTGGTTTTGTAAAATCTTTTTCTTAGTAAAAAGTAACTGAATTTCAAATCTTGGTTTCTTAATGAAATGCATATTCAAGACTCTGAAAGTTGAAACTGAGACTTTATAAATGACACTGATGGTTTTTAAATTTTTCTGTTCCTTTCTACTGCACACAGAACAAAATTCCAAATTTTCTGGACCCTCCATGTCTCTTTAGATGCATCTCTTTCTCATAGGTTTCCCTAAGAAATCTAGTAATTGATCTCATTGAAGATAAACTATGAGATCCTTTTTCTAAAAGAAAAATGAACTGCATGCCTTTAAGTCAGCAATGAAAAACATGCCAGGAGCCAATTTTCCTAATCAGGCTTCTTTTATAATCCTAACCAAAGCCTTCCTTACACGAGTAAAACAAAGCATCAGAAATTAATCAGTTGTGATGCCCAATCACCAGTAACCACAAATAAACATGTTCAGATCCATGGTGGAAAATGTGAGCAATAATTTATAAAGATCGAACCTACCAAAGCCTCTCTGCTCTTGACCCAAATTCACAGCTGTTTGAAGAAGAAAACAGTTTTATCAACAGGCTAAATTTTCTTGTATTGAAATGACTGCATATCTTCATGACAAAATAAACATCCTGCTTTTATAGGGTTCTGTGTACTTGTGCTTGTGTGTATATGTGTGTGTTTATATGTAAAATGTTCAGAAACAGCCAAATGATTTTGAGAGGTAAGGACATGAAACATTTAGACATGTTGTATAATTCTTCAGTGCAAGTTTATAGTAATTTCCAAAATTTTTTGCGTGCTTAAATACTTTTATTATCTACTCTCTCTTTCCCTACAGATCTTCATAAATAACGAATGGCACAATTCAGTGAGCGGCAAGAAGTTCCCTGTCCTCAATCCTGCCACTGAGGAGGAAATCTGCCAGATAGAAGAAGGGGATAAGGTGAATTTCTAAATGCTGCTTCCCTGTCATGCATGTTCTTTGCATGTTCTTTGGATCTCATCATTCTGAGCTCTCAATCTCCACTCTAAGTTCAAGAAGACATGTCATGAAAATATGGCTCCTCAGGCAGGCTGAGAAAATTCTGTCTCTAGTGATGTGGTTATCTTTTCATAGTATTTTCCTTGATTGTTTTTCAATTTAAATAATGTCTTGATTTATTATATCAATAATCTGTGTGAGAAGGAATTGATCACAGATTTAAAAAGGAACAAAGCCTTTGCTTAAATAAAATTGCCTTTTTATGTGGTTACAATAAATTATAAGTCAATATAAGACTTTAAAAATAATGTACTACCAAGTTGTTTAATTAAAAATCACTGAATCAATACCTTTAAAATTGAGTTTTAAAATGACTTAAATTGAATATCTAATTGAAAGTTGATACACTCTTGCTAATAATAACAAAAATGAAAGCCAAATTTGTGTAAATGCTGTTTTAATTTAATACTTAAGGCAACTATATGAAGATGATACTATTTTTAGTTGTATTTATAAATGACAATAAAATGAAAATATAGAAGGTTGAGTAATTTATTCAAATTGATATTGTTAATAAGTCATGAAATCAGCATTGAAATGTCATTCTCCTAACCCTAGACAAAGCCTGAAACTGGCAGGGTTATTACTTCATCTAGTGATTATTATAAAAGTTAGACAGGGTGGTATTAAATAGCCTGAGGTGAGGAGAACAAAAGGCTTCAGAACTTTGATCTGAACTATATGTAATAATATGTTTGTATTTCCAAGTCTAATTTGAAATAATTTTTCTGCTCTTTATTGCTTTAAATCTCAGCATTGTAAGATATAAAGACATAAAACATTTTTGCTACATCAAAAAGATTGTAGTAACACATTTGTACATGAAAGCAATGCTAGGGATCTCTCTGTATAGCTGTCCTTAACTCAACTAGCAAAAATGCTATGTCTTCCTTATTATGCTTATGTCTTTTCTTCAACAAAATTAAAGATAAGGGCAGGACAGGTTCTGCCTGGAAGTGAGGAGGGGAGGGGGGAGAGAATGGGGGAGGAGGGCAGTGGGGAGAAATGACCCAAATAATGTAGGCACATGTGAATAAATGAATAAGAATAAAAAATATAAAATAAAATAATTGAACAATGTAAAAAGTAAAAAAAAGAAAAAGACTATTGTTGGAAGAGGAAGTCAGCAAAATTCACAACTGAAACCATTCATGACAAGATGTTTTAGCTAATTGTAACAAACACATGTTCCTGTCCACTATCCATTCCTTCAAGGAATGGATTTTATGGGATAAAATGTGATAATTCAATATATGTATACAATTTCGAATGGTCAGATCATGGTGATTAGAATTTCCATCTCTTCACACATTCCTTAGTTCTTTATGTTTAGCGTCCATGGATTTCTCTCTTCTAGTTTTTCATAAAATGCTTAATACTTAACCTCCCTCCATTATCCCTTTCTTCTCCACTTCCTACCCTCTAGTCTTCACTATTATACTTTCTTATTTGAGATTCAAACTTTTACTTCCACTTATGCAGTGTTTGTCTTTCAGTGTCTGTGTTATTTCATTTAACACAGTATCCTCCAGTTTCAAATGACAGACTTTCATTCTCAGTCACATTCCATTGTGCACATGTACCATATTGTCTTTATTAGGTAATTTTCTGATAGACACCTTGGTTGATTCTATATATTGCTAATGCAAATAGTTCTGTGCAGGTGTCTCTTTGATTACCTGATTTCATTTCCTTGGTTTATATACTCAAAAATGAGATCACTGGGTTACATGCTGGTTGTCTTTTCAGCTTTTTGAGGAAATTTTGTGCTACTCTCCATAAAAACTAATTTACATTTTCACCAAAAGAGTTTAAGTGTTACTTTTTCTCCACATCTTCATCAGCATTTGTTATGTTTTTCTTTTTTGATAATAACCATTTGGACTAATGAGGTGAAACATTAATCAAATGTAGTTTTGATTTGTATTTTTTCTGATACCCGGTGGCACTAAACAAATTTTTCATATACTGTTTCCATTTGCATTACTTTCTTTTAAGAAATGTCTATTCAGATCATTTACCTTTTTTTTTTTTTTGGAAGTACTGGGGATTGAACTCAGAGTCATGTGATTGCTAGGCAAGTGCTTTACCACTTGAACCTACTTTCAGTTTGTTTTTCAGGCTTTTACTCTTATCAGTCTCAGACCACACTTCTCCTATCTCCATTTCCATAGTTGTAGGGACCACAGAGGTATATAAACACAGCTGGCTCTAATTTACCTATTCTTAATTGGATTGTGCTTTTTTGCTGTTGTTTCAGTTTCTTATCTATCATATATGCTAATTCCTTATCATATGAATAGTCTGCAAAAATGTTCTCCCATTCTGTAAGCTATCTCTTCACCAATTTATTGCACAGGTTATTAGTTTGATATAAACTTACTTCTTTTTCCTGCTTGTGCTCTTCAGGTTTTATCAAACAAAAAAATTACCTAAACCAATGTCTTAAAAATTCTATTCTGTTTTAATCTAGTAATTTGAGGTTTTTCATTTAGATCTTTGATCCATTTAAGATGTTTTTGAGTATAGTAGAAGGTAGGGTTCTAGTTTTATTCTTCTGCATGTAGATAGTCAGTTTTCCCAGCATCATTTATTGAAAAGGCTGTCTTTTCTTCAATGTCTGTTTTTGATGGCTTTGTCAAAAATCAGTTAGCTGTACACGTGTGATGAGAGCCATGGATTTTTAACAGCTAAATAGTTTTTGATTGGAAACTGCTGTGACAATCACTCTGTACTTTCATGAATTGTTAGAAGGCCAAACTTGGGCAGAAAAATACTGATCATCCCTATCAAAGTGCTATAGGGACACAGAAGCCTGTGTTCTAAGAGGTATTCCCAGAAATAAGAGAAAAATGTGTTCTTACATTCAAAAAAGAGGAATGAATACCTCTTATCAGAGGCTTCCAGATACCACATAACATTACTTTACCTCAAATGGCCCTCTACTTACTTGAGTGGTTCTAGCAAGCCACACACACAATAAAGACTTAGGTGTGACAAAGTAAGCTAAGCCCCTGAGAGCTACCTACTCTTTCTCTACATAGAAATAAGTGCCACTGAAAAAGAGGACTGCAGATCTGTTTGTAGTCAGCAATTAACAAAAGAAAAATATATTCATGATGTTTTAGCTTTAGAAACTTGAATATTGAGCTTTTCTTTAATTTCCTAGGTGAGCATCTTGCTTTGCCAGTGGGATTATTTCATCAGATTTAAACAAATCTATATGCCTGGGTTCCAGTTGAAAGTTTGTCAGACAACCTGAGGACTTTTCTTGGTATAGGTATGAGATTTATCCTCTTCTGAAAGTGCAGTAAAGGAAAGCTGGTGATCATACCAGAAGCTTTAGAAATGTTTTTCATTGATTGCTCTGTGCTTATGGCAATTACTCCTGCCCATAGAAGAAATCAAAGCTGTACGTCAAGCAAGGTACAGTGATCATAAAGTTGGCTGGACATTTGATCACTCTAAGTTGTTGGTGATATAAAACTGTCCATGGTAATCAATGGTTTATTTAACATCCAGCATTCCTATAGTTATGTTCTGTTGGAGAGTTATGCAAAAACCTTTGTCTTTAAAGAATTGCTGTTCAAAGAATTTTCCCAACAGACAAACGTAGAGTAAACTAACATTGCGTATTGAAAGGTACAAATCTAGTCAATTACATAGTTACAGTAAACCTAATATGCTGGAACTGACTCTTTAGATAATGAGCCAAAAGGTTTTAGAGATTTAATTTTTGAGTAGAATGTAACTAACAATGGGCTGTATCCTGCCTTTCAGTGGTATCATAAAGAAAGGGGGAGGGGCAAGAACAAATAGAGGTTACAAAGCAAAGCACAGATGTGGGTGGGAACTGTTTTCTTTTCACTTGAGTGGCTCTTTTAGACTCTATTGACTAATCCTGAAACTGCTTTTAATACTAAAGCATGACCTAACAAATAATTGGTAGGGATAAAAGTAAATGTCCATTAAAGTAAATGCTTATGACAGGTGTAAAATAAAACTGGTCTGATAGCTATTTCTCCATTCATTCATTAAATGAATTTAATATGGAAATGTACCATCTGGAAATGACTAAAAAGTTCAGTCCTTCCTTAATAGGCTTAAGAGGCATTAGATATTTTATCATCATTCAAATTTCTTCAGATATTCAGCTTGTGGGCCTTTACTTCAAAACAGGAACACTTTAAATGCCATAGGCCACAGAACTATTGATGGTAGCAAAAGAAGCAAATTGTTTTCTGATTAATTAAAAAATTATATCACTGGAAATGTCAGTCTTTGAATGAAAATCTAAGTAATGATAATCTTAAAATTAAACAAAAAAAAGAATACTTTCATGTGCCTAATAATTTTGAGGAATGTAAAAGTTTTATTACCTGATGGAATCAGTTAAATATGACTGATTACACAATATAAGTAAATTATATATGGCACTATCTAATGGAATTATTAAATTTTTATTAGTTGCCTATTATAGGCAAGAATACATGTATAAGCAATGTTATAAAAAACAAATAATGCTAAAGGGAGATCACTTATGAGAGAAGGAGAGTAAAAGAAGTTAAGAAGGTGAATACAGCTGATCTACTTTCTTACAAGAATGAATATAGATTTTTAAATCTGTTGAAATCACCATAGAAAGGGACTAAAGTAGAAAGGAGAAAAATAGAAGAGATGAACTAATCCAGGTTATAATACATACATACATGGAAATGTCACAAAGAAACTCCCTATGTAGATATTTTAAACAAAAATGTCATTTATTTTTCTCTCACAAAATCAGAGAAGAAGAGGACAGAACAGGCCCTGTCTGGGGGGTTGGTACTAGTGGGAAGGGGAAAGATTTGGGTAAAGAGTGGAAGAGGTTGAATATGGTGCAAACACTGTATACACATGTACGTAAATGGAAAAATGAGACCTGTTGAAACTACTACAGGTATGGAGGATTTGGGGATAAAGGAGAATGATGGATGGGGTGAATTCAAGTATGATATATTTGATATATTGTAAGAACTTTTGTAATGTCACAATGTACTCCCAACACAATAATAAAAAATAAAAAAGTTAAAAAGAAATATTATAGCTTACAATACAGATAACAGAAAATATTCATTGCAAAAAAAAACCATTATTAGGACATCCTTGCAGATCTATATGAAGTAAATTTGAAGGTCAAATGTGGGATTAAATTCTGGTTCTTCTAGCTCAGAAGCTTTACATATGTGAGACCTACTCATCTGTAAAACAAGGCTCATATAGTAGTTACTTGGAGCTTTAAATAACTCATCTTGTTGGCTGGGGTGTTGAAGGCTCTTATCTAGTAGCTATCAGTTGGCTGAGGTTTTGAAGGCTCTTAACTAGTAGCTATCATCTAGCTTGTATTTAAGTAGACTGTGATCCTTGAGCCGAATCTTATAAAATGCGTAGTGTTTTGAAGGTAAAGGGGTGTGCTGATATAATATTCTCTGCAAAGAGAATTATAGGAGCTAAGGTGGGAAATGTGGGGTTAGAGGGAGCAGAAAAATTGTGAATATAAAGTTTTGGCAGGTGGGGCCCAAAAGTGTTAGACCTTGAAAACTATGTACAAGAGTTGAACATTAAAAGGGAAACAGATAAGATAAAACTGTATGAGGAAGATTAACCTGTTAGCAATAGGAAGAACAGTTGGGGAGGAAGAGCACGAACTTGGAAGCCTGTTGACTCTATGAAATAATGAGGGCTTGCAATAGTAGAAGGCTGTGAAAACTGAAAGAAAGTGTTAAAATACAGAATTACTCAGAGTTATTTCAACATTGTTTAGTCTTCTAGGACAACAATAGTTGTCTTCATCTAATGTGTACTTAACATGATGTCTGTCACATAGAAATTGTGTGTCAAGGGTTACTGTATTTAGTCTTAAATACATCACTGGAGGCAGCTTACTCTGATTTTAGATATCAGCAAACTGAACCTTAAAGAAATTGTGACACAACATAAATATGTCACTTTAGAATGCATAGGCCCTCTATACCCATGAGTTCCACGTATGTGGCTTCAACCAACAAGGGGTCAAAAATGCTAGGTTGTGGTTCATATAGACTATATAATTAGTTTGTATGTATACTGAATGTGCAGATATTTTTTCTTGTTATTATTCCCTAAACAATACATTATAACAATTATTTACCTAACATTTACAGAGCACTAAGTATTATAAGTAATCTAGAGATGATTCAAAGCATATGGAGAGATGTGTGGAGGTTATATACAAATTATGTGTGAATTTGTATAAAAGAGTTGCACATTCATAAGATTAGGCTTCCTACAAGGGCATCCTGAAATTAGTTCCTCTTAGATACTGAGGGCTGAATGTGGTTTTCAGTTTGTAATATAATGGAGTGATGATTTCGTTTATGCCCTACCCATTTAATTGAATATTTCACTATTCTATCACTAGCAGACTCATGATAAGAGAATGCTGTACAGAGGAGTATGTATGAAATCTTTAGATAAATGGATGGATGGTTGGATGCTTCAAAGCTTACATAGCTAACAAAGAGGAATATGAATTCAAATCTGAGTTGTTTTGTTCCAAAACTATAAATTAACTATCATTGCACTATTTCTGCTCCTGCAAAATTAAACATAAAAAGGAGAGGATCCAAAAGACATAACCAGAACATCTTTGTTTATAGCAACATTCTCTAGAGATGTGTTTTTCATATGGCAGAGTTACTTGTCTTCAAGCCAGTTTTTCCACATCCCTTTGGGAGGTCAGGATGCCTATATTAGCCCATATTTGGCTAAGGCCAATGGCAGAACACTGAGCAGAAGGATCCAAATGAAAGCTGTTTCACACACATCTGTTTAAACACAGAGCTGCATTTATTTTATAAGCCATGGTATCCACAGACCCTGCTGGCAATCTCAGATTCTTGTGGTTCGCTTTTTATTCTCAAACAGTGCTCTCTGAATTTATTTTGGAAAAGGTTACAACTTGTGGCATAAAACAGTGTTCAAATATAAGCAATGTATGTGATTAACTGAATGTCCAAAATATGTATTATATGTGTAATTCTCATGAAAGCAAGAAATAAGTGCACATATTGTATACACCCATCATTCTCCCAAAAGTTTGACAGTTAAATAAACCAGTATGTGATATATTGTAGTGAATGAATCTTGCTCAAAATCTGTAAACATTACCACTAAATCAGGTCAGATTATACTTCCGAAAAACCCTTCTTGCACCAGTTAATATTTGTTTGGTGATAAATACAGATTGTTCCTGATTTACTATACTTGAACTTATAATTTCCCAACATTAATAAGACACAAAAGCAATACACATTCAGTAGAAACTATACTGAGTTTCGGTCATTACTGAGGACAGAATATGCAGCACTGTATTCTCCTGTGATGCTGGGCAAGGTTTCTAAACAGTCACACAATCACATGGATAAAAAAACGGATCCTGTACTCCACAAAGTACTGTAATCAACAAATTAAATGAGATAGCAAGCACTTTATTACAAAATAGGTTTTTAGTGTTCTGAACACAAGTAAGACAGGCTAGGCTAAATCATGTTGTTTGATGAGTCAAGTGTATTAAATACATTTTCAACTTATCAAGGGTTTATCAGAATGTAATCCTGTCATAAATCTAGGAGCATCTGTACTATAAAAGCAACGTATTTATTAGCATTTTAATTCACAGACTTACAAGTTTGGGTCTTCTTAATTGAATGCACTCTGAAGAGGAAGATATCAATTGAGGATATATCTTCCTTGGTTGGGTTTCAGCCTAATTGTGAGCAACATCAAAACATTAGGGTAATTTCCTTCCTCCTTCCCTAATTCTCAAAGGTAATTATGTGTCCTTAAAGAAGTTGCAACCTGACGTCCTTTGATGTCATTATGATTTATGGAGTTCCATGCAATGGTCAGTCCTATGTATAAAGAAAATATTCTAATGTTATTTACCTTTAAGATATTTACAACTGACTTAATGGGGAAAATAATACCATGTGAAGTCGTAATGAAAGAAGTGGTGATACTTGTAGTAGATACATTCTGTAGAAGATGAGAAGAGTCTTAACAAAGATCTATAGGAGAGTGGAGTTGCCAGGACAGAGTCTGGAAACTGGGTAAATTAGGAAAGAACTAAAGACTGCCTGGTTTAGAAAACACAGAGAAGAATTAAAACCAAAGACGCTACACATTAATGTGAGTGTAAATTTACTCTATTATTGGACCTTTGCTTAAATCACTGGAGTTTTAAATATAATCGCATTAATAGAAGAAAATGGCTCTGTTACCTAATCAAGGGTTGAAAAACAATTTTGCCTCCATTTGGGAAAAGATGGCTTATTGCATGCAGACTTTCTGTAGATTAGTTCTACTCACTACCTTTATGGCATTTTCCCTCTATACATAAGGAATGAGTGCATGCTTATAATGCTTATCCTTCAACAACAAAGAAAAGTTCTTAGTCAGTCTTCAATAAGCTCTTCATGAGAGTGGACAGATTGTAGAGTCTCCAGAGACCACAGAAAGTAGTCACTATCTGTGATGTTGAACTTTGCATAGAAGTACTGTCACCCAATCACCAGAGGAGTAGAATGTGTAAAGGAGGGCATGGATCTATATTCAGACCTGCTCCATTTTAAACTCAGTTCAGCCATTCTTAGGTTATTAACCTTAGATCAATCCCCTCACTCTCTTGTTTCAGTTTATTTATCTGTAAAATGGGAGACATACTTGACCCATTAGATTATTGAGACATAGATATGTGTAAAGTTTTAAAACATTACTTGAAATAAGGTTAATTAACTCAATATATCCTTTTGAAGTAGGATGTAATATCAACTATTAAATTTGATAATATTCTAGCAAATCAAATATTTGACAGGTGTGTGGTGCTTATCTAAAGATTACCCAAGAGTCACTCCAACATACTATGATGGAATGCATAGAATCTTATTTTCTAGGGTTATTGCCTTTGTATTTGCCAATCCAATGGGTTAGACCTACTGAACTGAGTTCCCTGTGACTTACAGGCAGATGTTGACAAGGCAGTGAAGGCTGCAAGACAGGCTTTCCAGATTGGTTCTCCATGGCGTACTATGGATGCTTCAGAGAGGGGACGCCTGCTCTTTAAGCTGGCTGACTTAATTGAAAGAGATCGTCTGCTGCTAGCAGTGAGTATTACCCAAACTGGATACATACAGAGATCTTTCAAAATCATTCACTGTTTGAATTGCCGAGTTGATTTGGTTCTAATGAGCACAAAAAAAGATGAATTATCTTCCTCTACTCTAGAAGTTCTCAAAACTGCCCACAAAGTCAGATGCTGTGTGGATCTCCTAGAATAATGTTCTGGGTTTCTCAAACTTACTTGACCCCTGAATTCTTTTAGTGGAAAATCTGATTAGGTTTGTTAAAAGTGTTCAAAATATTTCTTTAAAATAAGTTTCATTTCTCCCTTGTTTAGCTTAGCAAAGTATCTACAAACAGCCACTTTTTGCTTTCCAGAAATGTGTCTGTTCACTGTTCACAGTGTTCATAATTAAATGATCTGGTCTGTCTGTTTCACAGGTGAAAAAGCCAAAGAAATTAAATTCAACTGCTATTACACTCATAGAAAATTTGTTCTTATCTTTACTGTTTTTTCTTTAATTTTGGCAGATATCAGCTAGACAAGTCAGCACATAACATGGGTAGGAGAGAGCATTTCCTCCTAAACTTCTCAGCCAGGCATTACAATAAAACTAATTTAGCAAAGCTAATATTCAAATTGAATTTCAGAATAAATTTTTGTTACCATTAGAAGCTTAGAGTGGCAGTAACAAGGAGGTCTTCATTTTATTTAAAAATTAGCAATTATGGATAAAGAACCATTTATTATTCAAAGACACAGCATAATTTGAAATATGAGAAAATATAAAACCAAAAGCTGTATGCACTAAAACTGTACTAACAAAAATGTCCTATAAGAAGAAAGAAGATTTCACTAAAACTTGGCTTCTCTTATTTGTCTGATTTTTAGAGCATACAGTGTTGACTATCTTGGTAAACAGCACCCTCCCACAAACACCCTTATTCTATGTGGGAGTGTAGCTACACAAAAATCATGTTTGCTTAAATTTAAGTATGGTGGACAGTGTATCATAGAGATGGAACAGCTTTAGTAATTAGTCTCCTGTTCAGTCCCACTGGGTGACCACCCAGCAGAATACTAAACCCTAAAAGTTCTTTAAAGCTGTACATAAGAAAAGAAGGAAAAGAAGAAAAAGGTCATTATACAATTGTTGCACTACAAGATGAGAAAATGTTAAACTTCCAATTTAATTGTTCAAATGATAATTATAGTAATAGTGCTTAAATTAGGAAGTTGCTACTTGAAAATTCTGCAGAAGAAAATTTGTTCATAAAAGATTGTATGAATAGATTGGTTATATCCAGCTGGACAATGAAACTAAAAATGATTATTGAGGTTACTTGTCACTAGCACTAAATTCTCACCATAGTCAGATTACAAGTGAAATCTTGTTGGAACTCTGGTCTGATCAAAGAAACTAAGTACCATTTTCACCATCTAGTTATATATCCAGTTGTCACCAGCTCCTAGGACATTGGTTAGCTGAAAGATACTCAGCTGCTCAAAGAAAGAATGCCATGGTTTAGACACATGACTCTCACTACTCATTCCACTAGGGCCTTATTATGTAACCATAAACAAGTCATTTTGACTCATTTAAAAAAAGAAGAAGAAGAGAATAGACATGATGATTTAAAATTCTATTTTCAAAATTCTCTAGCATGTGACTATTCAAAATATTGAGTAAATATTTTCAATCCAAACTTTTGTGGAATTTTAGATTTTGGATTGATCTGTTTTTCAGACAATGGAGTCAATGAATGCTGGAAAACTTTTTTCCCATGCATACCTGATGGATTTAGGAGGGTGCATAAAAACATTACGCTACTGTGCAGGCTGGGCTGACAAGGTCCATGGCTACACCATACCAAGCGGTAAGTAGACTTAGGAAATGACCAGGGTGGGTACAGACATGAGTTGATTATGAAGTTGAATAATTTCAAATTCTTTCTTTTAAAGATGTTAACCAAATTAGGCAAAACTGTTCTTTTCTTGACACAGTCCTGAACTTGGAAGTTCTGTCAAGATTCAACAACTGATTTTTAAAGTTATTCCAGCATAATCATATAGTGATAGCCCTGGATATTTTAGAAAATATTACTGTAAAATCGTTCTTATAGCTACAATCACTGATTCCAGGCAATTGTCTCTCTAAAGGCCCAAACTTTTCAAAGCTGGTCTCTGAAATTATTTATTTGGGTTTCATTTCCATAGTGACATTTATACCCTTTCTGTAATGTAATTATTTAAGTCTGTTTGCATGTTCCAGTATGAGTCTGTTATGCTCATCTGTGCCTGTTCAAAGTCAGTATAGACCAGACTAATTAAACTAATTCATATTGATTTGTTTCAAATAGCTTCAAAGCAAAAAGAGACTATGTTTATAACCTGGGTTAAGAATCTCTGTATATAAATGTTTATGTATGCATTATTTAGTGGGATATGCACACTATATAACAGACATATGAAAAATATTTTGTATGAAAAAATATCAATTTTGCAAACAGTAAGGATAAATTTTAACTACTACAAATGTGTTTACTTTAGAAATATACTTCAGGAGTGATCCTGAAATGTATTTCTGATACAATTGGAGCTCCCTGTAAGTTAGAAGGGAGAGCTAGAAAGTTAAAAAAAAAAAAAAAGAAAAATGAGACAATAGTGGTATTAAGAAGTATGGCTATTTTAGCAGTTGTATAATTTGTCTTCGTACAACCTGTAAAAAAAATCATTTAAAGTACCTAGGATCTTCAGAGAGAGCATTCTTCCTGTGATAGAGCTTCTGTGGGAACTAGAACAGAATGGAACACAGAGAACAAAGCTCTAAGGATGACCACATCAAATGGAGGCAAATGACTCAGTCATATCCAGATGAGAAGGAAATGTCTTTCACTGTAGGCATTAGTTTTCATGGATTTAGAAAGTTTGGTTTTTGTTAGGTAGACAAAAGAAAAAAAGCATTTTAGAACAAATGCTTAGCTAGGCTTATTGCTCATAGTGATATATTACTATTTTCAAATTACATTTTCTTTTTACAAAGATTATGTTACTCAGAGCACTTTGAGTGGCTGGAACAACACTTGACTGTGGTTGTTCTCTTATCCAGAGATGGTCCTACATTCTTTCTCATTAATTTTCTATAAAAGTTTAAGAATAACAGTGGTATACAAACAGTCCTCATAGCAATGAGAGAGTTATCTTTCATTTATTATTCAATCTTGAATCTTTAATTTTACCTAACTCTGTTTTATGGTTTCTGTACTTCAAACCTAGTATTTGAGGTCTTAATTTTTTTATTTTGTAAATGTTGGAGATATGTTCTTTCCTCTTTTTTAAAAATGACTGTTCCCATATTCCTCTCACATCAACTTTAAACCATCCTCCTTTGAATGTAAACACATTTGCCTTTATAGGATTGCATTGTATTTTATTTTCCAGATGGAGATGTTTTCACTTATACAAGACGTGAACCTATTGGTGTTTGTGGCCAAATCATTCCTGTAAGTTATTCTCCTATATAATTCCAGTGGAGGGAAAAATTCTCTAATTCTATTCCATTTGGTTATGAAGCTCTCTCCAACACAAATGGATGCTTACATATGTGCAGAAAGCTTCAAAATGTATGTGTTATTGAAACTGGTCTTCCTGTGACCCAACTACATGGATATAAATTAAGGAGTCCAGAAATCCATCTATACCATGGTATATGTCTTGAAGAGTGTTTCAATATTATGGCATCAACAAATCTTAGCCTTTTACACTATGGGTTGTTTTTGAAAAGTTGCATTGTATACTCTTTTAAAAATATGACAGAATGTTCAATACCATCTCTTCTGCTGCAGAACACTTATTACTCTCCAATATTCTTTGACTCCTGGTTAAGACTTCTCACCATGGGCAACAGTAGCAACTAGACATTTCAAATCCTGAAAGATATTTGCTAATTATAGTGGAAAAAATGATACCAGAAATACTTAGAGCATTGTTTCGAATATATTGTACCTTTAGTTAGCAGGCTCTGATACACAAAATTCCTCTGTGAGAAAATGGTGTTTTTTTAAAAACTTTTATTTTATTCATATGTGCATACAATGTTTGGGTCATTTCATGTGCTCAAAGTCCAATCCCCTTGTTGTGTTTGCCCTTGATCTAATGTCCGCATATGAGGGAGAACATACGATTTTTGGTCTTTTGGGCCAGGCTAACCTCACTCATTTACCAGCGAATGATAACATTTCGTTCTTCTTCATGGCTGCATAAAATTCCATTGTGTACAGATACCACATGAGAAAATGGTATTTTTAAATGGAATTGTGAATACTTCCTTTTAAGCTTAACAAAAAGGTTACTTTCTAAAGATGGCTAACATACTTTAAATATAAACATGGTGAAGTGCCCTAAAATGTTTAAATGAGGAAATGACATATCTTTTATTCCAATGAGACTGAAGTGTACCAATATCAACATTTTTAATGTAATTAATCTTTATGTTAAAAGATAAAAAAAGACATAGCACAGTGCTAGAGATAAAACCAAGAGGATTATGCATGCTAGATACATGTTCTAAAGCATTATGTCCAGCCCCTGCTTTCTTGATTAACCCTGGACAGCCATCTCAGGTAGCGAGGACTATTACCAGGATTTTCAGATAATGAAATTATGCACAGAAAACAAGTCACTTGTCTGACTTCACAGTCACTCAGCAAGTGATTTTGCTGAGTTCTGAACCCAAGTACTTTGCCTCCAGACTCTGCAGACATCTTTTCTTTAACAAGATTATTCCTGGGCTGAGGGTGTAACTCAGGGGGAGAGCACATAGGCACATAGAACACAAAGTGCCAGGCTCTGTTCAATACCCAGAGCCACAAAAAAGGTGTCATAGCTACAAATGCTGTTAATAATATTGTTGTGTGAATGTAATGCATGACTTAGAGGGAAAGGAGCTTATTCATACTTTTTGAACATAAATAATATATTATGCTTAATTGTATGCAAAAACAAACAGTGATTTTCCCCTTGGTAGAATAAGAATTCAAAATCGCATCATTTGATTAAATATGAGGCTCTTTTCTGCTCACTTCTATCTAGGTTACAAAGAGCTTGTTATCATTTACTTATTGCTTTTAGCAATGTACTTAAATGGGATGTACTAGGTAAGCTCAGAAAACTACAGAATTGATATTTCACATCTACGATGGAGGGTTTTGTAAATGTAGAACTTACATTAGCAAATGTGGCTTGGAGCAATTCAAAGATTCTCATTAAATATTGCTTTCTAGTGGAATTTCCCGCTGGTTATGCTCATTTGGAAGTTAGGGCCTGCTCTTAGCTGTGGAAACACGGTGATTGTCAAACCAGCAGAGCAAACTCCCCTCACTGCTCTTCACGTGGCATCTTTAATAAAAGAGGTAAGTTTCCTAAATCAAAACACACACATGAATTTGAGTCCTAATTTATAATAAGAGGACTTCATTTAGTGCTATTACAAACTGTGTTGTCCACAAATGATGCCCTTCCTGTCGTGGGGATGCATGTAGAAGGACAGCTGGCTGGGGTTTCTGGCAGTCAACTCAAAAGAGTCTCCATCAGACTCAAAGTCTTGCGATCAGTCACCTTGTGACCAATTATTTCTTTTGTTCAACTCTCATGAAAATATATTCATAGTAAAATGAAGAAGCATTCTTTCAAATGTCGAAATATTGAGTTGGTTTGTAACTGCCACTGAGGGCTTCTGTAAATCTGTTTAAAATTAATTAAAGAAATTTTTAATCTATCTGAAGGTAGAGGCCATTGTGCCAATATGCTTGTTTGTAATATTGAGCCATGTCTTTTTAAACACAGAGTCTCTATGGGTGGATATATTTATATTCACTTTTCCATTATGGTTTTCTCTACATTTTTCTTGTGTTCAAAGTAGCAAACAGCACGTGAAAATTATTTCAGTAACTCTCCAAGCTGGATGAACATATCTTTTCTTGGAAAAAATTCCTTGCTTTTATCTTTCATATCTTACCAATACTCAAGTGTTAATCATTAGAAACTTAAAATTTAGAAGCTGTGAACCTGTATATTGTAAACATTTTTTTCATGTCAACTTAAGAATAGGCAAAAGAGATGTGAAAGTGAGGCAATTTGATACAAATAACATAAAATTTTATGGGCCTTGGATTAATGTAAATCTGGGAACTTCCATTCTACATAGAATAACCCTGCTTACCTGATATTTTACTGATTGAATAATGTCAATTGGGATTTGCAACTTAGTCGTTATGCACTGAGCAAACAACAAACACAAACTGATATTGGGAGATGGCTTTAGTCTCTTTCTTTTACTGATAATAATAATACACACTAACATTCTCCTTTGGAAACAATTTTCCAACCACTTTTATGTATACTATATTTTTTGGTGGATACTAGGGACTGAACCCAAGGCCTAACACTTGCTAGGCAAGTGTTGTACTACTTGAGCCATGCCCCCACACTATTACTATCTTTTTAGTTGCTATTATGAAATTTGATGCAGCTATCACTGGAGCAGTGATTCAATTATTCACAATCTTATGGAAAAATGTGCTCTCAATTATGCAGTGAGGCTTTATGTAGGTTAACAAATGAAATAATAAGCAATAAAGAATAATGACACATAGGCACATTTTTCTTGCTAGAGTAAATCTCAAGGCTAGCATAAAGAAGCAGCCTCAATCCCATTCTTTCCTCTTATTTGAATTAAATTTTGAGTTCTGTTGTAACCTACAGGCAGGGTTTCCTCCTGGCGTGGTGAACATCGTCCCTGGTTATGGGCCGACTGCAGGGGCAGCCATCTCTTCTCACATGGACATTGACAAAGTGGCCTTCACGGGATCAACAGAGGTAATGTCATTGACTCAGGCTGGCAGTTAAGAATGCTGACATCTCTAACCATCAGAAGCATGTTCTATGTAACTATTTTTAAGCCGACACTTCCTTAAAACAAAAGTTCTTCTTAATGATTACTTCCTTATTCTACCCTTCAGATATGTTTATACAGCATAAGCAGATGTGGTTTGGATGAAATGAAATACTTCCTCCAAAGTCAGAAGGATTAGAGTGAGCTGTTTTTAGTGTGTTCATTGCATTCTCTCTTGAGAAATATAACTGCTAAATCTCTGTCATATGATTGGAAAAGTTTATGATGGAAAATATAAATTAGACCACAGTGATTTGTATGAATGAGTGCAACTGTATCGTATAGATTATAAAAATTAAATATCAGAGCCTCATCCTTAACTCCTTATTTGGGGCTCCACTTTCACTAGACATCCTGAAAAGGAGCCAGAACCTCAGCTTCCCTCAGTGTTACTGATGGTCTCCCCTAACTGTTCTTTCTGGATCAACTGGGCCAGACAAAAAGTTAAAAATCAGTACTCTCAGCAATACCACTCTTGGGGATATACCCAAAAGACTGTTACTCCAGAGGCACCTGCACATCCATGTTTATTGCGGCACTATTCACAATAGCCAAGTTATGGAAACAGCCAAGATGCCCCAGCACTGACGAATGGATTAAGAAAATGTGGTATCTATACACAATGGAATTTTATGCAGCCATGAAGAAGAACGAAATGTTATCATTTGCTGGTAAATGGATGGAATTGGAGAACATCATTCTGAGTGAGGTTAGCCTGGCTCAAAAGACCAAAAATCGTATGTTCTCCCTCATATGTGGACATTAGATCAAGGGCAAACACAACAAGGGGATTGGACTATGAGCACATGATAAAAGCGAGAGCACACAAGGGAGGGGTGAGGATAGGTAAGACACCTAAAAAACTAGCTAGCATTTGTTGCCCTTAATGCAGAGAAACTAAAGCAGATACCTTAAAGCAACTGAGGCCACTAGGAAAAGGGGACCAGGAACTAGAGAAAAGGTTAGATCAAAAAGAATGAACCTAGAAGGTAACACCCACGCACAGGAAATCAATGTGAGTCAATGCCCTGTATAGCTATCCTTATCTCAACCAGCAAAACCCTTGTTCCTTCCTATTATTGCTTATACTCTCTCTACAACAAAATTAGAGATAAGGGCAAAATAGTTTCTGCGGGGTATTGAGGGGGGAAGCGGGAGGGGGTGGAGTGGGTGGTAAGGGAGGGGGTGGGGGCAGAGGGGAGAAATGAACCAAGCCTTGTATGTACATATGAATAATAAAAGAAAAATGAAAAAAAAAATAAAATAAAATAAAAATCAGTACTCTAACCATGGGCACTGTGAGGAGGAACAGGAAAGAGAGGGAAGGAGAAAGAGAGGGTAGAGGGAGGGAGAGAGAGAGAGAGAGAGAGAGAAGAAAGAGAATGACTTTTTTATTATAAACCAAAAAAAAGTGATAAAATACTCTATCAAGCAAAGACATTCTTGAGGTTATGGCATTGTTAGATGTTTAAAATAAAAGGTGATGCATACCTCTCATTTGGTATGTAGCATAGAAAATGAGGACTGAACATAATTTCACTGTATAAAGTTGGCTATGCAAATAAGAAACAAAGCAGGGTGTGATAAGATACATACCAAGTGCTAAGAAGGGGCTCATGAAAAGAAATGCTAATTTCCAGAGGGATGCTAGAACTTGCTCTGGGTTTTAAGGAATGCTTGTTGTTTAACTTCTTGGCGATTGAAAAATCACAAAGAACATTCTAGACAGTGAGTTGAGGGAAATTTGATTATTTTATAATTCTATTATCCACTGTAATTATATATTTTAGTTGCATACAAAATTGAGATAATGAGACATTATCCCTATGCCCTATCACCTCTTGATAATTCCATGAATCTTTTTATTTTCCCACGTTTTACTCATGCATGGCCAGAAGCTACTCTAGCATGACTCCCATGTGTTCCCTTTCTAGCTTGCCCCTTATATCTGCTGTTCTAAGAACCTCCTGATTTTAAAGTCTTCCCATCTGTGTTCCTATATATATGATATATATTATATCATATATAATTGGGAAAGTTCATGCCCATTTATATATATCATATATAATTGGGAAAGTTCATCAGATCCTTGACTGAGTGTTCTTTTTTTTTTTTTTTGGAGGTGTGGTTCAAGTGCTAGAGTACTTGCTTGGCAAGCACAAAGCCTTGAGTTCAAACCCCAGTTTCACATACACACACCGAAAAATGACACATACAAAAAAAGAAAACAAAAATTTATTTTCTCACAGTCCTGGGGGCTGAAAGTTCATGATCACAGTGTCAGCAAATTCAGTTTCTGGTGAGGACTCTCTTCCTAGCTTGTAGATAGCCACTTTCTCCCTATGCTCTCACATGGTCTTCTGTGTCTGATTCTGCATCTCTGGTGCCTCTTCCTTTTCCTTTAAGGATAGCCATCCTATTGGATTGGGGCCTATTCTTAAAATCTCATTTAATTTAACTATTTCCCTAAAAATTCTATCTCCAAATGCAGTCACTTTGGGAGTTAGGACATGGACTTGTGAATTGGGGTGGGGATGAGGTAATTAAGCTATAATACCTCTATTACAGCTCCAAACTCTATGTATTAATATTATTTGTTTTTGTGTCTGTCTTTCCCACTGGCTTCTTAAAGAACTTGGAATGCTTCTGAACTCAAAACTCAAGGAGGGTCACTTCAAATTTTGTGAGACTCCAGGTTTACAAACTGTGGTGGGCCCTGATTAGGAAAAGGACTATAACTTAGGTAGAAGGTGAACTTTTGAAGGAAAGGGCCATGCAAATGAGGGGCCCTGAAGTTTCAGCTTCAGAGCTTCTCAGTTGTCCACCTCTGGGCTTGAAGCTGATGATGGGGTTAATTAGCTTCTAGCACTAGCAACTCTGTTTTTCCACATAAACAAGCTTGTTTTGCCTCACTCCCCAAATAATTAATCAATAAAGTCAGCCTTGCCCAAAAAGAAGAATAAGGGGAAACATCAGAGAATAATACCAATCATACAGCCTCCTCATCACTCATCATTCTTTGTTTTTTTTTTTTCATTTTTCTTTTATTATTCATATGTGCATACAAGGCTTGGTTCATTTTGACTGAGTGTTCTTGAAGGCTGCTTGTTCATTCTTACTTTAGAAGTCAGTACAACTACCTCTAAATGAATGCTATAGAAGTAAATGTGAACAGCATAATTTTAGAAGTCACACAGAAAAAAAAAAAACTAGCCTTAGTACAAACACAAATGCACCTAAGAACTCATTTTTGGTTCTCTTTCAGCTTCAAATTTTTTGCTTGGCTTAAATTAGGGAACTTGCCAAATGCCATTTAAGGGGCAAACAACAGATTCCATTCCTCATGGTCATTGTAAAAGTGAAGCCATTCTATCAAGTTAAGAATTTTAATGTCTCATTAAGTTGCTTTAAAATAGGAATCTAACCACATTGCATAGGTTAAAACATTTTTACAAGCATTTGCTCTTTCTGCTCTATACAGCAATAAAATAGCATGAAACATACTGTTCACCCATAGTCTTAATTGTTCTTACCTTTACCTTCATCTCAGACCTCTGAGAAAAATGATAAAACTTTGCTATTTACAGAGTAAGGGAATGAAACCTTGGGATAAAAATTAATGTTCCCCCTTTTTTTGGATTTAGCCAGATTTGGATAAGATTCAAGCAAGCCCCTTATTTGCCATCTCAATTTGCACCAATTGAGATATAATCTTCCTCACTCATACTTCTAATCAGTTTTCCTGGGTTTTTTTTGACGTCTACCTTCTAAAAAATATACTTAATTCATTCCCCAAGACAAAAGTTATTTAGTTTACTAGAATTTCTCCAGTAAAACTAAGTTTAAAATATAGGAAATGCAAAAAAAAAAAAAAAAAGACACAGGAAGAAACTAGAAAATGCAAAAGGTAGAGGACAAAAAAAAAATCTTTATGTAGAAAATTGAAAATTCTTGATCTCCTCAAATGAAAATAGTCATAAAATATTTTGTAGAGGCTGGGTGTCATGGTACACATCTATAATCCCAGTACTTGGTCAGCAGAAGCAGGAGGATCATAAATTTGAGGCCAGCTAGGGCTATACAGAAAGATAATGTCAAAGAAAGAAAGAAATGGAGGAATGGGAGAAGGAAGGTAGGGAAAAAAGAATGCACAACAGCAGTTAGCTTACTACCCACATAAAATTTAAAAATCATCTTTTTCTTCATTTGGAATAAAAATGTTTTCATCAAAATCCATCATGTTGAGTAGGAAAAGAAACCCAGAGAATAAAAGAAAAAGAAAAAATGAAATGATTATCTTTAATAAAAAAAGATAAGGATCATTTTAGTGGATTAATGAATTAATAAATATAATAAAGAAGAAATAATTGTTAAAACAAGCCAAGTTTTAAAACTGGAAAAATAAAAACTTCAATAGAAAATAATGTTTATGAGAAGTAATCAAAAAGAAAAAAAAATGAAAGCAATGTCTTATTCTGTAAGGAAACAACTAGAATTAAAGAAGAAACTAGAACAATAGGATTCCAGCTCACTGCAGTAATAGTACAGAACTCTGAACCAATTTCTTTCTTCTTACTCCACAGTTCTAAAGAATTGTAGATAGAGTATAGGGAGGGAGAGAGAGAGAGAGAGAGAGAGAGACAGAGAGACAGAGAGACAGAGACAGAGACAGACAGAGACAGAGAGGGAGAGAGGGGGAGGGAGGGAGAGGGAGAGGGGGACAGAGCTGTCAGTCATTGGGATAAAATTACTGAGGAGATGAATGCAATCTTAGGACATTGACATACTATCAAGGAGGTGACAAATCTGTTTGGGGAAATCATACATATGCAAATGTTACAATGCAAGGAAGACTCTGAAAGAGTTTTCAAGTGGTTTTCTGGGACACCAGGAAAAGAAAGGGTCATTTCTCTCCAGAGTCATCAAAGATGGATTCAAGGAGGAGCTAAGATATGAGCTGGAACCCAAATAAGGGCCGGACCTGGAGATAGTTCAGGTTAGGGAGGCATATAACAAGAAGAGAGATGAGATTTAGGAGAGTATGTCAGTTTGCATATACAGAGTTTTCTGGACATCAATAGAAGGATGAAATGTCAGATAGATGAATTGTGTTTGGGTCATGATATGTCTGATCAATCCATAGATGATGCTCTGATGAAAACAATAAATAACCTGTCTAGCTATGCACACAAAAACAGCTATCATGTTCTGTATCTCTGCTCTCTTGCCTGTGAGAGCATCTTACATCTCATGTCTGCATACTTTGTAGGGTAAAATGCCATTTAGTGTTTTCACCAAATGAAATTTAATAGTGGCACAAACATCATATAAATTTAAAATAATAAAAGAATGTGTTTTCATGAGAGCAGACTAAGCCTCCTCCTTTGCAATGCTCCATTTCAGGTTGGCAAAATGATCAAAGAAGCTGCAGGGAAAAGCAATCTGAAGAGAGTCACCCTGGAGCTCGGGGGGAAGAGCCCCTGCATCGTGTTTGCTGATGCTGACAGTGCGTATTACCCTTTTGTTAACTTTTCCCCCTTCTTCCTGTTTGATATCTGATAATGCCATGTAGTGAGCTTGAATTTTTATAAACAGGTTTACTTCAGAGTGTAAGGAACTAATACTAATATTTGTAAAATGTTTAACAAAGTAGTATGTTCTAAAGTGAAAGCATCAGTTAAGATCACAATGGGGAAAGCAGGTCAATTCCATGAATGATTTGTGCCTGTAATTATTGTTGAACATCTTTTAAATTGTCCTGAAAATATATTGCTACTTCCTAATCCAAATCCTAGAAAACACTAATATTTTGCATTTAGAGGCCATAATATGTACTTTTAATCATTTCTTGTATTTAATTTTAATTGTGATTACTGTGATGACATTCTTCAGACATGTTGAACTGAAGCTAAGTGGGAGACAGTAACTTCACATTTTCCATCTTTCTTCATTATGCATCTTGTGCATACTAAGTAAGATGACCATGATAAAATTTAAGCTACTTAAAATTTTCCTTTATTTCCTGTCAAGAGTAGTTGAGAGTTTGCATATATTTCATCCACAATTATGATCAGACCCTCTATATAATATTATAGATGCATTCCAATTATATTATCAAGTATAATCCTAAAATTACTCCCTAAATCAGAATTCATTATCAGAATCAGATAGCCAAACATTCCTCTAACTCTCTTAAATGGTTGTATTATTGATATGAGGCATAAACACAAATGGTTCATACAATTTGCCTCTCTTACTATTGTATCCTTAATTTAAGTTTCGACCATACTACCTAGGTTGAATATTCTATAAACATTACAAAATACCTAATTTGTTTAGCTTATCTATAAACTGCTTCCACAACTTAAACTGCTATATTTAGTTCACAAATTCATATTCAGTTGCTTTAAGGCTGAATGGAATCTTCACTATCTAGAAAAATAAAATGCAAAGAAAACTTTACTCTTCATTGGGATCAATGAGATCCTAACAAAGCAACCCAGGTAAACTGTGTCATCTAAACTAAAGTAAGATTTTATAAGCACTTATGAAATACTACAGCATATGTTTTAGATAGATTTGAAAATGTCTGTCCTAGAATAAGATCATAAGGCAAGCCAGTGATTCTATATATTAGTATATTGTGGTTGGATTTTGTTGTTTTTTTTTTTTTTCAGAAATATCACTTGGTTAAAGTATTTAAGAATGTTTTAAAATTAAGGAAATGGGGAGTTCAGATTTTTGTTATCTAACTAAAACCTTAGGACTAAAAGAAACACAGTGTACAGAAAATATATGTGTTTAGTTATCTATTTGTTGTAAGTATATGAAGTGTTTTTGGACTAATGGAATATAAATGCCTCCATTAACTACAAATTGAGATGCTTATAAAAATTAATTAAAGTGATAGTTGGTCTTATAATTAAATCCACATTCTTAGAAATATCCATATTAAAGTTGCAATAATAATCACCACTTTTAAATGCTAGTTTTGTTGCTATTATTCCCACAGTAAATACAGGATTGTAAAAATTAATTCCTCATCAGGTGTTTAAGATATCACCTATATTGAGCTCATCTCTGACTATATGATTCATTTTTTATATCATGATAATTGCCTCTGAGAAATACATATAAAATATATAAGCTTTAAAAAGTATTTCTTCTTTTGGGATGGGGGCATGGTTCAAGTGGTGGAATTCATGCTTAGCAAGTAGAAGACTCTAAATTCAAACCCCAGTATTGAATAAGAAAAAAAATTTAAAAAGAAAAGAAAATATTTCTTCTTTAATGAGAATATTTTCCTTGCAGTGGACAATGCTGTTGAATTGGCACACCAAGGGCTATTCTATCACCAGGGTCAGTGTTGTGTGGCTGCATCCAGGCTTTTTGTAGAAGAATCGATTTATGATGAATTTGTGCGAAGGAGTGTTGAGCGGGCTAAGAAATATGTTCTTGGAAATCCTCTGACTCCAGGAATAACTCAAGGCCCTCAGGTGAGTATGTAGCAGACAGAATAGTATTTCAGTGGGCAAGAATAAAGTATCCTTTTTAGGACTAATTTGTGCATCTTCCTAACAGTACTTTACCAATTTGGTGTTTAAACCATCTAATTCCCCATGGTAAAGATATCATTCTATTCTTGCACATGGAGTTGCGCATTTTTCATGTTAGAAAGGGTTTAGGAGTCATTCTGGGAATTAAAGAAGTGAAAAAAATTAACAAACACTATCAATTTTTTGTCTTCCTCAATCTGAACACCTTTCGATTCCTACATACAACTCTTTGTCCACTAGCAAGTTCATGCACATTTCTGTCATTTCCTCTCAACTGCCAATACACAGGGTGTAGACAACAAGAACACCCCAAATCCTCTGCAAAGTCCTCATGGACCCTCTAATGGTAGGATAAGCATTCTCAGAGGTCCTGGTTTTCAGGATTCTGACAAACTTCTTAATTAATTTGTTAAAGCTCTTTCATTCTGCTGGGGCTCCTAGGATTCTTCTGGGTACTTAGAACAATTATCAATAAGAGTGTCTCTCTTTTATTCAAAGGATAGTTTTCCCTCTGCCTTGCATAGTTCCTTGTTCATGGCCTATCATTTGAGCTCTGGGACTTTTGGTTCTGAGTGTCCTCCTGCCCTTTCAATCCTGCTCTAAAGCAGTGACCTTCAACTAGGGGCAGTTTTGTTCCCCTTACCTAAGGGACATTTGGCCATGTTGAGAGAATTTTAAGTTGTTACAAGTTGGTGGAGAGGTGTGTTTACACTTGTCTCTTATGAATAGAAACCACAGATGCTGCTAAGCACCTCAAAATGTACAGAGAAATCCAATAACAAAGAATTAACTGGCCTAAAATGTCTGGAAGACACTGCTGAGAATTTATGCTGTAGAGACTAGACATCAAGCTTGTAGTCTTTATTCTTTCATACTGTTACACTTTGTATATGGCTCCATGTTATTGATTTAAAATCAAACTTCATTGACTTGCTCACTAAACAAAAAATAAATGAGATTAACCAAAATTGAGTGGACACTGCTATCAGCTAGGTACCTAGGTACCCAGCAATGCCAAAAAGAACAGAGAGGACATGAACCCTGATTCATGGACCTTACCATCCAGATAATTCAGAAGACTGTCCTGGATTTTCCTGCTCATCCCAAGTATCGAGTGGTAAAACATCAGGATATTGGCAATTTCAAGAATTAAAACCTACAAGTCCTAATATAATTGTCAAATAAAAAATAAATGAGATTAACCAAAATTGAGTGGACACTGCTATCAGCTAGGTACCTAGGTACCCAGCAATGCCAAAAAGAACAGAGAGGACATGAACCCTGATTCATGGACCTTACCATCCAGATAATTCAGAAGACTGTCCTGGATTTTCCTGCTCATCCCAAGTATCGAGTGGTAAAACATCAGGATATTGGCAATTTCAAGTATTAAAACCTACAAGTCCTAATATAATTGTCAAATAAAATAATAAATTGTTTTATCTTAATCTCATTATATTTTGGATTTGTCCTTGAGTTTAATGAGTACATACAAGTAGTTGCCAGTTTTTATTGTATTTGGTAACTTCTCAAATAAATACCAACAAATATATTCCATTCCAATCTAACTTGATCTCATAGTCAAAAAAAGAATGTTAATTCTAACTTTTTTGTTTTATTTCTTTCTCTAAATATTTATCTATATAAACCTGAAGCATTTTTCTCATTATATATAATATATATATATATATATATATACACAGAGAGAGAGAGAGAGAGAGAGAGAGAGAGAGAGAAGAGAATATCTAAGGTATCTAATATACTTGGTTTGCCAATGTTTTCCTGCACTAGAAAATCTACAATCAAGCCACAAACTCAAAAATTGAGCTAAAATGCAACATTATTCCTAAAAGGAAAAGGTTAAAGTAGACTTAAAATTCCCTATTCATAGGATTCTAAAGTAAGTAAGTAATCCAGTGATCCAACAGATTAATGTAAGACTTTAATCTGTGTAAGTGCATATATCTTTTTTTATCACAGGTTGGACTAAATAAGCAGGATAAATAGGTATTTTAGAACTGAGAAACAAAAGACCAAAAAGTCCCCAGGGCTTCTCTAACCTTACAATTTTTCATCTGTTGTCATAAGAATAGCTTATAGAAAAGAAATACTCATTCATTAAGCTTTAGCCTAGTGCTTTATCCCCTGATGGTTAACAGGCTTATAAAATGTAGTTATAGGATCTTCTTCATTAATATCAAAGAAAACAGTTATTCAGGAGGAATAACGCCTGAAATATTTATATAGGAAAAATAATTTTTAAATAAACATTTTTTTCTTATTTTAAAGATTGCAAACTTAAACTATTTGCGTGTTAAAGCAACATTAATATGTGTATGTTATTGATATTTGTATTATATGTATATTTATATGTACATATTTGTGAAGTGATTTTCCTATTTGGCTTCAAATCAGTATCTTCATTTGAAAAAGAAGTGATTATATACACATAAATGTATTGACATCAGTTGAGTAAGATCTTGTTATGGTATGGAGAGATGGGTTTTAAATTATAGGCTAGATTTAAAACAAAACCTCCCTCAGACTATATTTCCCCATCTTTGAAATGAGCACAGTGATATCAATCTTACTTGTGCAGTAAAATCATATAATAAATCCATCAGGATTCTTGGTTTAATGTGTATGCCTGAATATTTATGAAGTAAATGAAAATTACATGCCTCTAAACCTTAGTGACAATTACATAGATGAATGACTTTATAAATCTACTCTCAGGGCTCCTATTGATCTATGGTTTATACAACTGGTTGTGTCTGGGTATTTGTTTTTTGATTTACCTTCATTTCCAACCCATCAAACCTAAAGAATCAGAGAATCTTCACATTAAAATATATACTTTAAGACTGCTACAACACCATGACTCATTATAATTCAAAGACCAACCCATGAACCAGTGACTCATGTAGTAGTAAAGAGCTCCTGCTACCTGCAAGCTTTACTGAACAAGGTTTGAGGCCTATAAAGAAAGACAAGTTCATCTTTAATCTACCTGAAATTTTGTCCTTTTTAATCTAAAGTAAATTTTATTAAATGGAGATCAGAATGAAAATAATTTATTTCAAACTAAGTAATTTACCAAGAAAAATTAAGTATTAGTGTTTAGTATATTTGGGAGTATATTAACACATTTGCAAAAGGTCTTACAATCATTGTCCTTTACCCCTCCCTCCCCCCATTCCTGGAATAGTTTCAACAGGTCTCATTTTTCCATTTCAAACATAAGTACATAATATTTCCACTTTATTCACTCTCCTACACCCTTTTCTTATATCCTCCTCCCTCCCACTGGTACCGATCCGCAGACAGGACCCGTTTTAACTTCCTGCTCTCCACTGTTGAAAGAAAATATTTTTGTTTGTTTAAGATAGTTATACAGGCAGTTTCATTGTGACATTTCCATGTATGTATGTATTATAACCCAAATTGGTTCATCCCCTCCATAGTATTTATAATGAATCAAAATTATCAGGTCAAAGTAAACACGCCCGTAAGTATGGATGAGACATTCTGTCAGTGTTCCCATGTTCTGGCATGGTGTTCTTCATCTCTCCTGTGCATTTGAAACACACCAGGATTCTTTAGTTCTAGGGAGGGACCTGGGAAGCACATTTTGCCACCAGATGATGCCAGAACTACTTACTATAGTTGCACACTCTCAGTAGCAAGGCAATCATATACAAAGTCTCATATTTTTAGAAGTCAGTGATTATATACATTTCCAACATATAAATCTTTTCAGCATTTTTTCTTCAGCACTCATGTAAGGATTAGATTGTTCCCCAGTGTGCACTCTGGTCTCAAATAGGGAAACAATATGACTTGGGAGCCATATCTTAAAATAACCAGAGAATCATGATTTTGAGGTTATAGTCTGATTAATATCTTGCACCAGACAAGGAAACTTTTCATTGAGGTACAAGAACCCCTCAACTATTTTCTAGAATGTTTTAACAAGGCAAAATCTATCTAACATCACCCCTTAAGTCTGATCATATTAATATGTTATAAAAATATTTCTTCTTTTAAACCAATAGCACAACTTCTTTAAACAGCTGGAAGTGAAGAGGTTTTCTTTGTGGAATGTACTGTTGAGTATTATGCACTGAAGGGCCTAGAGAAACATGGCACCAATTATTGTGCCAAACTTTGTAAAATAATTTCTGATTTCAGATATTATTTAATCATTTAATTAGATAAGATCTGAGTTGTGTGAGGCCAGAAATAAATTTATGGAAGATTTTTCTTCATCCTCAAAGATGGGGAAATTTGCAGAGTCTAAGAAAATGATAAAGAATTCCAATTTTTTGAGTAATGAGAAGGAGACAAATTAAACTGGCAAGAACCTCAGACCTCTTCTTAGTTCATGGAGCTCCTGTTTTTACTTCAATCTATACCTGAGACAGGCAGTACACAGTGATGATACCCAACCACTCAATCATTCAAACTCCCATTTTACGAACTGAGATAAGACAGAGTCCCCTTGTTACAGGGTAATGGAGGAGAGGTATGTGCTCCTGGTAATTCCCAACCAAAACTCTGACCCTTTTTTATCCCTCCTTATAAAAATATTATTTAAAATGTTTAACTCCTGCAATACTTGTCATAAGTTCAGATGTGGTCCATTTAATGGGGTTGAAAGGTAGTAAACAGAACTGCTTACAAATCTGAATCAAGCATGCTGACCTGAAGTGAGAAAGATGTGCTTGATCCATTTTCAGAATACGGTGTCCAAGGACATAGATCAGACCAGAGGGGTTGCTTCTGGGATGCTAAGTATGGAGTCTTCTTAAAGTCTAAACATATCCATGTGTTATTTAACCACAGTCAAAGGTCTCTTTTTCTCCTTTTACTCATTTTATTTCAGCTAGGACAATAATTTCCAGGCAAGTGTGCAAAACCATTGTCGAACTTTTCTTCCAGAGTAATAAATGACAGTTGTGCAAAGGGTTCATTTGTGTTTGCAGTTCCAATATGATTTTCTTCCATGATACTAGCTACTTAATATAAATATTTTCAAGGTTTCTTTCCTGAAAATTCCTGAGAAGTAAATGTCCCCAAGAATGAATCTAAACCTCTCTCAGTTGTTTTGATTCATCATTAGATTTAACAGCAATATCCTAACATTTTTAGGCCTTCATTAACAGACCCAATACTTCAACTTTATAAATTACTAATATTTTTTCTTTTTCATGTAATATTTTTAAAATAGATTGACAAGGAACAATATGAAAAAATACTTAATCTCATTGAGAGTGGGAAGAAAGAAGGGGCCACACTGGAATGTGGAGGAGGACCCTGGGGGAACAAAGGCTACTTTGTCCAGCCCACGGTCTTCTCCAATGTGACAGATGAGATGCGCATTGCCAAGGAGGAGGTAATGGTGTCCTTCAGTTCTGTTCCTTTCGCTGCCATGCGTTGTCTGTGTGCACCAGCTGTGCCTCTGACATTCTCAGCTCTTTGAACATCTTTCTTAGTAGATGGTACTCCTCATTTCTGCTGTAGAGAAAGGCTTAAGTTATTTGTGATCAAGTCTCAAATACAAAGCAGTATGCTTAACAATCTTTAGGGGCTTCCTTCTTTCACAGCCTGAAAGTAATAGAAAAGTATCTTGCCATTTGTGACAACACAGGTAAGCATGAAGACATTTTGCTACATGAAATATGCCAGGCACACAGAGGCACAACTGAACCTCTGTTCCAATTATATGTAGAACAGGAACCCATCAAACTCATAGGAGCATAGAGTGCAATGGAAGCTACCAAGGTTCTGTGGAGATGAGGATGGAGGAGATATTGGTTAAAGGAAACAAATTTAGGAAGACAAAGTTCAAGAACTATACTGTACAATATGATGATTATAATTAATGAGTGTATCATCTTCTTAAAATTCCTGAGGGTAGATTTTATGTTCTTTTACTGCAAATAAATAAATAAACAAATATACACATCCTATTATGGGTGCCATATTTGCCCTGTGACTGTTTTCTACATAAGAATCCCCCATATATTTGACAATAATATTCATCTCTTAAGTCACTCGTAACCTAACACTATGTTCTTTACCCTATATTTTTTCATCACTTAAACTTCCTAATTTTCCATATCCCAATATAGAAATTTGGTACACATCACATACACACACACATATTCATATAAAATATTCAATATTACATAAAATTAACAGTTGGAAAAATCTGGGACCCAAAGCACATGGAGGATGGGGAATGATATAAGAGATGAATATTTATATTTAAACAGAATTACTTATATACTTAATATATAATATATAAACAGAATTATATTTTAACACATCATCTGTTATGGGTAAGGTCAGACTTAGTAAAATTAAGGAAGATGTCATATGGAGTTATGACATATACCTAGGAAGATTCAGTGTGCATAAAGACACAGTAAATATTCTACCTCATGGACACAGAAGTCCTTTTTTTTTGGCCATACTGGGGCTTGAACTCAGGGCCTTCACTTTGAGCTATTCCAACAGCCCTGTTTTTGTGAAGGGTTTTTTGAGATAGGGTCTCACAAACCATTTCCCTGGGTTGGCTTTGAACTGTGATCTTCCTGATCTCTGCATCCTGCATAGCTAGGATTACAGGTATGAGCCATCGTCACCCGTCTGAAGAATTTTAATAAATGCAGAAGGATTTTAATAAATGCAGAAGTCAATGCTCTGGCTTTGTTCTGTGAAGTTGCTATATACACTCAAATCCAGGTGCTGGTGTGTCACACCTGAAATCCTAGCTACTCAAGAGGCAGAGATCAAGAGGATCATGGTTTGAGGCCAACTTGGACAATTAGTTTATGAGCCATTATCTCAAAAATACCCAACACAAAAAGGGCCTGTGGAGTGGCTTGAGTGGTAGAGAGCTTGCCTGGCAAGGGTGAGGCCTTGAGTTTAAGCCCCAGTACCACCAAAACATAAATAAAAATAAGACACTGAGACACTGACAGCTTAAAGATACTGGATCAGAATCATTTCATTCAGTAAACTTGTACTTCTTGTCTATAATACAACAGGTTCTTTATTTTGACAGTGCTTGGGTTTGAACTCAGAACCTCATCTTTTTAACTGCTAGGCAGGCACTCTACCATTTAAGCCACACCCTTACTCCTTTTTGCATTAATTAATCTGTGGATGAGGTCTCACATTTTGGCCTGAGTCTGAATTCAGGCTGTGATCCTACCTATACCTTCTATGTAGCTGGTATTACACATATGACCTACCATGCCAACTTACTGGTTGAGATCGGGTCTTGGTAACTTTTTGCCAGAGCTGGCCTCAAACTACAATCCTCTCTCCTAAGTAGCTGGGGTTACAGGCATCAATCACAATAACCAACCTTGAGGCTATTTTCTTTTCCCCCAAATGTCATCAAATCATGGGGAAAAGGCATATTCAGATTTGCAAATAGAAAAAAATAAATAGGAAAACAAAATAAAAGCTGATTTATGTAGATATTCAACATAGTTCCTCTACATCAATTCAGTCTACTGAATTATATTATTTTCATTTATTGGTAAATTTGTATTTGGTTAGAGCTTCAGTTCTTATACATCTTGACTAATACCTGATAGAAAGGAGTAGGGGAAAATGATCATAACTCAAGGAAACGTTACTGTGCTCCTATAATTCTTACAGTAATCCCAGCTATGTGGGAGGTGGAGCTGAGAGAATTGTAAGGCAAGGCTGGTCAAGGTAAAAATACTAGTGAAACCCTACCTCAAATAAAAGATGAGTGTAATCGTACATGCCTGTAATCTCAGCCAGGAGAGAGATAGTGGTAGAAGGATTATAGTCTGGGGACAGTCCAGGGCAAAAAGCATGAAATGCTATCTGAAAAATAAAGAAAAGGTCTGGGGGCATGGCTCAAGTGAGAGTTTCTGCTGAACAAGTGCAAGGCCTTGAGATCAAACCCCAGTACCACCATCAACAACAACAAATAGCAAACTTAATTATCTGGGTTCCATTGATTGAAATATCAACACTTCTACTGTACTAGAATATTTTTATAATTAGCCAAGTTAAGTAAAATAATATAATTATGTTTGTCATTTCTGATTTTTTCCTACCTTCATTCACATTTCCCATAATATTTTGTTAACTCAGAAGAGCATCTCTTTTATTGGTTCTAATAAGGGTTTATTGAAATACAGGAGCTTAATTTTAAAAGAAAATCCAGTTTTTTTCCTTCTATTTAGGGTGAAAAACAGAATGAGTTGAGTTCAGGCTATAATAACTAGAGTCTGGCAAGAGTGACAGTGGCTTCCATTAGAATAAGCAATTTGTGAATTTTGTTTCTTGTCCTGTGATTATAGCCATTGCTGGTGAACTCACGCTTTGGTTAATATAGTATGGTTCAGAATTAAACTCTTCCAATAAGAAGTTATTCTGTTGGCATATGTAAGTTATATAAGGTTGGTCTACAAAGTAAAATCTGAATAAAACTCCATTGTTATTTTACCTAACTTGGCTAATTATAAAAAGATATCAGTACAGTACCAGAGTTGATATTTCAATCAACGGAACACAGATAATTAAAACATAAATATTAGTCATTGCTTACTTGTCTATCCAGTAAAGCATTGCTTTATGTAGGTACTTGGAAGATGAGGATAGCTAAGAAGAAATTTTCAAATGTTTCTAAGAAATTGTGAAGTTAATGATTTGATGTACAATCATAAGTTCTTGGAATCTTAATTCTCACAGCTAGAAAATAAGTATCTCCTTATTTACTGGTATATTCTCTTATTTCAAAGAGAACATATGACCATTACTGTTTTCACCATTTGTTTTCTACAGCTACATAGTTTAATTCTTACATGTAGGCCTGAGCTGTGAATAAAATCTTAACCAATTTAGAAAAGTCTATGGGGGGAAGATCTACAATAACATTCAATATGTTCAGTATTGGCCTATTTTTATTTATTTCATTCATTTCTTATTGTATAGATATTTGGACCAGTGCAGCAAATCATGAAGTTCAAATCTTTAGATGAAGTGATCAAGAGAGCAAACAATACTACTTATGGCTTAGCAGCAGGAGTCTTTACCAGAGACCTTGACAAAGCTGTGACAGTCTCCGCTGCTCTGCAGGCTGGAACAGTGTGGTAAGTGAAACTGAAGGTATAGATGCCTCTGGATGTGAGCCACATCAATAGTTTAACTTCTCTTGAACTTTTCTGGCCTCGAATTTTTTGATGAAATTTCGTGACCTCATTTAAAAAAAAAAAAAAAGAAAAAGTATTTGCTGCCTAAAAAGTAAAACAACAACAGCAACAAAAAATAGTCCCAATGATAAATAACTACTATATTGGAAGAAGTTTCTTTAACTCTATCTAGCCTTTTGAAATTAGTTAGCCAAAATATTTTGTAGATATTTGAATTACACAATATAGCTATTACTAGTAAGTCTAGGCACCTGGCACTATTCTATGTTCAAAGGAGCTAAAAGTTATTTTAATCAAGTTTAATTAGATATGATAACATTTATTTGAGAACCTTATGTATGCAAGCATTTAATTTTTTTTAAATCTTTATTACATTTTATTTTATTTTTGAAATAACAAACATTAGCAATGCAAGGAGATTCCATTATACATGTTTACAGTGTACTTTGCTTTATTTATTTAGGCATATATGTATTTACTTACTTCTAACTATACCAGGGTTATATTTTGATGCTTACAAACATACTTAAAATATACATTAGATTCATTCCCTCCATCTTTCTCCTTCATTCCCCTGCCTCTTTTTAGAACAACTTCAACAGGTCTTTGTTCCATTTTCATACATGTATATATACTCCTTCCACCATATTCTTCCTCCTTCACCCTATCCTTATACTCAGCCCCTTCCCACTGCTAACAGCCCCAGGCAGGGGGTTTTACCTTCATTTTTTAAAAAAGACATTTTTGTATGTTTATGATGGTTATGCAGGAGTTTCATTGTAACATTTCTGGTGTATTATGCCCAGAATTAGCTCATCCTTCTCCATTATTATCTTTTCTACCTCAGTCCCCTTCTTATGGTGATTTCAACAGTTTTGAACGTTCCATATTCAGCCTTGTAAAGAAAGTACATCAACCATATTCATCTTCTTTACTTTCTTTTTTTTTCTTTTATTCATATATGCATACAATGTTTGGGTCATTTCTCCACCCTCTCCCTTTCCTCCCGCCCCCTCCCTCATCCCTCCACCCCCTTGCTACCAGGCAGAAACTATTTTGCCCTTATCACTAATTTTGTTGAAGAAATAGTCTAAGTAATAATAGGAAGGACCAAGGGTTTTTGCTAGTTGAGATAAGGATAGCTATACAGGGAGTTTACTTTCTTCATTTACCTTCCTCCTTCCATTAGTTTCCTTCCCTTAGGCATGATCTGTTTTACATTCTTGTCCATCATTGTACAGAAGTCTATTCATTGTTGAGTAGGATTTTTGTCTTGGTATCATACTTTCAGGTGTATTGTACTTTAGTTAGTCTAACTCCCCTTCCACTTCCTTACTCCTTTCCTCCATACTATGTGGTTCAACACTTTCAGTGTGTTTTGTTTTGTCTTGTTCCTACACAGATATGTCATTATTATTATTCATTATCTTTCTTTCCTTCTTTTCCTCTTCCCTTCCTCTCCTCTATCAGTGCCACTTTTGGGTACATGTTCTGCATGTATTTATATGTACATACAATATAGCTTGCATTTGTATTGGGCCCATATTCCACATATAAGAGAGAACAACATGCAACCTTTTGCTTTCTGAACCTGGCTAACGTAATATCAGATTCTTACTTTCCTGGAATTGTTAGAGATGTTGTTATAACTTAGTAGAACATATTGAATTTTGAGAAGTTTGTTCCTCTAATTTTTTACAGAGGTTATATCTTTGATTTTTATGTTTACTTTACAAGATATAAATTCTGAAGCTGTGCCTCTCAAATTCTTGTGTTCCCTGCCTAACCCCAGTTCCTAGACTGTTTTCTCCACGATTTTTATCCTGTCAGAACTCCTCGGTTCCCTCAGTCCCCTAAGGACCAGAGATTCTTTCTTTTTATAATGAGATGCTTTCCTTCAGAGACTGTTAAATGAAATCATTCATGTTCTTGAATAGCATATGTAGGGGTCAATAAAGAATTTTTCTATGATAAAAGTATTAACAAAATACTAAAATATTAGTATTTGCCTTGCATACAATATCTCCATTTACTAAAGACTTACTATGCACTGAGAACTTCAACAAGCACATTCTGTGCACCATCTTACAGAGGCTAGAAACAACCCCACTAACTATCATCATCTTTACTTTACAGGTAAGGAAACACATACTTAGAGAGGCTAGAAAGTATTTTGGGGAAGCAGGAATTGAACTCAGGGTTTCATCCTTGTTAAACACAATCTTTAACACTTAAACCTTGCTCCCAGACCATATTGGTTTAATTTAATTTTCAGATACTGACTCATGGTTTGCCTGAACCAAGCATGCTCCTCCTATCTCTGCCTCTCTAGTGGTTAGGATTACATGCACGTACCACCACACCCAGTCCTGATAACAATTCTAACTCACAGAGTGACTATTTCTCAGTTTTCTGTTAATGTATACTAAAACAATGTCATTTTCAATGTGGAATCAAAAGATAAAACTTATTTTCTGTACATTTGATCAAACTGAAGTTTTAGGATTTTGATTTTTGAGTAACAGAAAATTAAACAATGCTTAATAAGACATCAAACAAGAAAGTCATTGGTACATTATTTGACTGAGTGCTTGACAATGCTATTAAGTATTTCTATATTATTGAAACAGAGGGTATCACTATCTTCCTATTGCTTTATATTCTAGAGCATAATAATGTTCTAGCATCATCTCAGATCTAATAACTGCTTTGGATTTAAAGGAGAACTATTGAATTACAGAGTTGCTGAGATTTTACCTATAATTTCAAAGTAGAGATCTTATTTTCAATTGAAAGAACAGTTATACAAAGCCTAGAAAATTTCCTTCTATAGGTATAAATTTATTCAAAGAACTATCCCTCTAGTGTGGAAGGCATGGGTAAGAACTGTGTGGCCTCATGAGAATGTGGGAACAGTGGGAATAGAGATAGTAAATATTTTCTCTTAGGAAACATCTGAATGTTACCTAAAAATCAAAGTATGAACAAACTCTTCCAAGCATAATACAATTTATCTGGGGGTCACCTTACAGTCTACCTATTGTAAAAGAATGTAGAGAAGGAAAAATGTAAAAACACAGTGTTATTTTCTCCTTTATTTTATTTTCCTTTGGAATATAATGAGAATTATGTACATAATTAGATTTTGCAGAGAACTTTAGTCACTGGAAATTTAAAGCTAAACAAATTATTCATGGCATGAAAACTGCATTCTACAGGAAATTAATGTGAGTCAACTCCCTGTATAGCTATCCTTATCTCAACCAGCAAAAACACTTGTTCCTTCCTATTATGGCTTATATACTCTTTCTTCAACAAAATTAGAGATAAGGGCAATATAGTTTCTGCTGGGTATTGAGGGGGTGACGGGGAGAGGGAGGGGGCGGAGTAGGTGGTAAGGGAGGGGGTAGGGGCAGGGGGGAGAAATGACCCAAGCCTTGTATGCACATATGAATAATAAAATTAAAAAAAAAAAGAAAACTGCATTCTAATCCCTGCTGTTGTCTTGATCTTCTAGTGAAAAGTTGTCTATAATTTTATTCCCATTTTCTAATTACACTTCTACAGATAAACATCTTTAAATACTTTATGACATCTGATAAACAAAGTACAATTCTTGCCAAGACCTTTGTTTCATAAATTTTTTGATCCAATTAATGAAAAATGAATCAAATATTACAATATACACTGTAATTACAATTGATTCTAGCCTGATAAGTAAATAAACCTCAAGAAACTTACAAAGATTATTAAATATAGGCATTAAAGAATACCCATACAGCAAATTTCAATCTCTAGCAAATCATATCTTTCCTTCTGACTATTCTCTCTTTTATAATTCAATACTACTGCTTAGAGACACGCTGTACTACCCAAATGACTATCCCATACAGATTTGTATCATCTACCTATTTCTAGATTTTATGTGTATATGTATAAATATATGTATATAATTTTGTGTTCTAATTTATTGGCTAATTTTTATCTCAATGACTACATTATACTGAAATGAATTGAGTTCTTAAAGAGTTCTCTGAATTTCTAAAACTCACAGTTCTTGACATAAGTTATTTCCTAAGTATTACCTATGATATATTTCTTTTTTTTTTCCAGGGTAAATTGCTACAGCTTGGTATCTGCCCAGTCCCCATTTGGTGGATTTAAGATGTCTGGAAATGGACGAGAACTGTAAGAATAACTTTCTCTTAAATTAAATGCTTATTTTGGTGAAAGTGGTTGTTACTTATAGGGAATTAATCTATGTTCACCACCTTAAATAAAACCTGCCTCTGTTCTTTCTTGGAAATTCATACCACCAAATAGCTTATTAAATGTTTCATGTTCTTCATAAGTACAGAAATGTAATAGCAAAGAGAAATAAAATGTATTAAGCTCCTAATACTTATAAGGAACCACCACTATACATTGGTATTTGAATTATTGCCTACATTTAGGATTCCTTGTTGTATTTATGAAAGTAATTCATCTGGGAATCATTTTCAGAAAGGTGGTATAACCTCTACATTACAGACTATATGAAGCATGCAAATGTAAGAGCCCTTTAGTTATCTGAATATGCCTCTTAAATAACTAAATTAGTGTCCTAATCCCAAGCAGCTTTAGCATTAAGGTGAATGATTCTGATTTGTTGAAATATATTGAGTAGACTCTAAAATTTTAAGTTACCTAAATGAATTATTTTGGGTACTAAAGTATAATCTAAGAGAAAAACTTGACTGAGGAATACATGTTTTTATACTTGTGACTAGATTGAGAATATTTATATAAAATGCCTTCATGAGTCTTTGGTTTTTCAAACCAATATATACATAGACTTTTAAAAATATATGCATACATATGTATACCCAGAAAGTAGGGGAACTAACTATATGTAGTTAACTTTCTTCTAGTATTTTTAACAATTTCAGGTCTTAAAATTTTCTTACACTTGTTAATAAATAAAAACTCATTAAGAAAAATGAAATATCATATACAAATTATGGAATAAAAAAACTTCCCATTTTGTTAATGGCAAGTAAAATAAATCTCAGTTTCCAAATTTATGGATGCATTATATAGCCATAAGCTTTGTCATCTGTCTTAATGAATTTGCAAAATTGCAGTAAAATGAATATATTTGGAGAGGCAAAGAACTAGAGGGAACATAAAATTTTCTATCCACTTTCTGAATAGATAGTCACTATGTACTTGTTATGGATGACATCCTAGGAGTCCCAGAGACCTAGAACTGTGTCTCATCCTCCATATAATTGTGTTGGTAGAAGGAATATATTTTTTTTAAAAAAAGACATATAGTGTAAAATAGTTACCTACAGTATGAAATAAGAAGTAATACAGTAGGAGTTCATGCCTCATGAAGTTAAAAGGAAGTAGTTAGATTGAAGAGCAAATTATTGAAGGACAGAGAATCTGAGTATCAACAGAGTGGGTCACTGAATGCAGCATTTCTTTAACTCTCACAATTTTCATCTGCTAAACAAGGTCAAAGTTTGTATAAGAATAAGAATAGAAGAAAGTAGGTCTTTGAGATGCTTTTCATGCTTTAGATTCTATGGTTCTGACTCTAGTAAGAATTCAGTGGATAAAAATTAAATGACATTTGACAGAGTAACAGAAAAGCTTACAAAAGGTTAGGACTTCATCTAAGACATAAAGTTAGTGTAGGATGTTGGTAAGTTGGACATTCTTGAAAAGGACATTACACTTGGAGTGCTGAAGAGGTAACAGTTTATTGAGAAGTATTATTTCAAAATTAAACATAGTGCATATTGGGAAGTCCTAAATCTAAGAAAATTGACTGGACTCTTATTAGTGGCATAGTGAAAAGCCAAGATACCTTAAGAATGTTGCTGAGGCCATAAACAGATGTGGAAGATCAACTGATGCAGAGTGCACAGATAGCAGAAAAAACACAATGTGAGACTGACCAGCACTTAATCCCAACTCCACCATTAACTAGCCATGTGGCCTGGTTCAAGTCATCTGACTTCTGAGCTCCTATTTCTAGTATTTAAAATGGAAATATCAGTGTCCCTCTTAGGATGGTTGTGAGAGTTAAATGACACACAAAGTGTTATCTCTAACATTTTAACTCTTACAAAGTAAGGACTCAAAAATGTTTTGATCTTCCCTCATTTCTTCTTCTTATAGTGCCTGTTACTGGAGAATTCCTTGTCAAAACTAATTACTTTGTACAGAAAGCTATTCAAAGTTTAGATTACTCTGAAGGCCAGTTAATTCACTGCTGGCTAAGTTATCTAACATGCATCCATGGGAACGTTCTTTAAAAATTAAAGTAGACAAAAACATGTCAATTTTTAGTATAATTTTGTCAAATTTTGTCAAAGGTTGAAACAAAGGAAATGAATAGATGAACTAAGGCAGGAATCAACCATTTGTAATTCCCTTAAAATCCATAATATGGATATAGATAATTTTCTTCTTTAAAATACAAAGGAAAATATCATACTGTAATCTTTACTTCAAAAATTCCAGCTGAGAATGCTACTGTTACATTCTACCTAATAAACTTGCCAAATTGGATAATTAAATCATTTGTTGCAAGAAATATGAAGGGCATTATTAAAGCAATAAATTCAAATGAACTCCCTCAACAGTTAAGTTAAAATTTGTCCACAAAGTGAGAAAAGCAGAATTGAAATTAGAAGAATACTGACAGAGCCAAAAACTGGTGGTATGCAGACTCCACTGTGTTCAGTGGTAACTTGGAGTGCCTGAGTCTTGATTTCTGAATCTCTGATCAAAGTGTTGGCACTAGAGTGGGATAAATGGCAGAAATCACTCCCTTTGTGTATTTGTACTCATTTTCACTGAAGTTAACTTTAGTCACTTGAGACTTGACTCATAGGACATTTCAAATTTAAATGATTCTTGGAATGTCTCAGATTTTTTTTTCTCCTGTCTCTTTCAAAAAGGGGGTGCAAGGAAGAATTGTAAACCACAAGCTTATAGCAAGAAATCAAATGAATTTTTTGTTTGACTATATTTGCCAATTCATTTCAGCAAATATGTTCTCTGTGCCTGCTTAACTAAGTCAAGGTTAATTTCTAGGTACAAAGGGAAAAAATAGACATAACTTGTTACTAGCATCTTTTTACTTCCAGTGTGGATGATAAAGGAGAAGCATGAGTACCATGTGGAAGTTTATTAGAAATGCAGTCTCAAACCTCACTCTAGAAGTTCTGAATCAGAATCAGTACTTGGAAAAGGTCCCATATGATTGGTACAGGAAAGACTTTAGAAGCACAGAACTGGTAACTCATAGACTCAATAAGATAAAGAGAAATGTAAGCAGATGTTCATCTGTTCAATCGTAGGTATAACATGTGCACAGAAATCTTAAAGTAAAGATTTTTACAGCCTGAGTGTGACAAACTCTCCTGAGAGTGTCCAGTGCCCTTGTGACCCAAAGCACAATGGAAAACCTATTAATGAAAAATCATAGATTAATTTATCTACCTTTGTGAGATAAAATACTATTTAAATATTACCTTTTAATGGATTTCAGACAGCTGAGTCTAGACCTTTAATTATTTGGAGAACATGCTCATTGAAGCTTTCAAAAGGTATTTTCAAAAGCTTAATTGACCAAGAAAATAATCAGTGTAAGTGGATTAGGTTTCTCAGGAGAAAAAGTCTTCTGTGTACCTGTCTACATCACAAGAAATTAGGGTCAGAAAAGGATCAAGATCTTATTCTCTGTAAACCTCCATGTGCATAGGAATTGTGATTTTAAGAATAATCTTATATGTGTGCAATTTGATCTTCTCATCAAAATAATACAGATGATATCTGAGCCCAATCTTTCTAGTTTTCTCTTCAATAAAGAGTAAACCATAGTTTCCAAAACTGGTCAGAAGTAAAATCCTGAAAACAAAATATCAGGATGCAAACAGATTTTCTTATGTTAATTGCTGGTCATTTGCATGGATTTACAAGTTATAAACAAGTGGTGAGGGATAGGTGATGTCACTTAAAGGACAAAACCCAACATCTGCAAAATCTCAAAAGTCTGAATGTAGGTGAACCTCCAAAGAAAACATACAAACAATCCAAAAAGAAAGAAAACTCTACCAATAAGGGTCAGGGTTGTTTTTTGTTTGTTTGTTTGTTTTATTGCCAAGAATCAAATAACATTGTGGAACTAGAGGTTTGCCTCAAGCAGTAGAGTTCCTGATGTACTAGCACAAAATCCCTCATTCCAGTCCCACCAAAAGAAAAAAAGTGACATTGTCAAAACTACAGCTGAAAAACTTAGGACACCTTAGAAGGAAAGTGTAAGTGTGTGGTAATTTTCTACCCACTAATGGAGATAAATATAAGTTCCACTTCAGTTCATGATTTGCTCGATTACTTACTCTTGAGTGATTATGTGTTGCTACTTACCAAACTCAGAATTGATAGAACTCTATTTGGCTGAACTGTCTTTTGACTAGTTAGAACTTTAATAATCAAGTAAAGTATAGTTAAAAATGGACAATTTCTGAGAAATCAACTAAGAGTACATAATTACTTTAAATGAAAGACAGTTTAAGAATTTTTTCCACAATGAAATTTAAACCAATTAGACAATTTATGATCACCTAGCTACTGTATGAAATCCTCTACACACAGAAAACGTTCTCCATTGTCCCTAGCTAGATAAGCAAGAACAAATAGGTACCAAATCAGACTGCAGTACACTTGCACTGCTGTGAGCAATGGTGTTTATAGGTAATGATCTTCCTTCTTTCTAGGGGAGAAGAAGGTCTCCAGGAATACACAGAGATCAAAACAGTCACAATGAAAATCTCTCAGAAGAACTCCTAAAAACATCCCACAAAGTAGAGAGAAGATTCTTCTTCAATGGCTAAGCATCTCCTACAGTCACTAACATAGTGGTATTTAAATACAAAAATTTTCTTTTCTTAAGCTTTTAAACATAAGCTAATCATTAGTATTAATACCACACCTAGAAATCACATAGCTTACTCTGAAAGAATCATTTACCTTTTGATATGTGAGCCCAATTCCTATGCTAAATAAAAGCGATGGATTTGAATGCAAGATCTCTATAGATCTGTCATAGAATTATCTGCTTTCTTTTTAATAGGTCCTCATCCAGAATAATCTTTTTACAGAAGAGGGTCATTAGTCATGTAACCCTTTAGGTAAACATAATGACTCCTTAAAGTAGTTAATTTACATGCTAATTGCAGAGTAAGTAGCTCTGTCCCCAGTAGCTGTAATGTATCTGAAATGTGAAATGTTTCCAGGGATGTCATGTCTGCTTGTCAAATGAAATACTTAGCTGTAATCTGCATAAAAAGCTTAATAAAAACAATCCTGCATGATTCTTGTTTGGTTTTAATTGTTTTCGTTGAACATTGTGGCTATGGCAATTTACCATCTATCTCCGTCACTCAAAAGTACTGTTAGACTAAACATAGAGATAAATTTAAAAATAAATATTTAATCCACCTATTTTCAAATGGTTCATGGAATAAATTTGTTTTCTGAAGCAATTCATGAAATTAATTGCATGCATTTGAGACACATAGGAACAGTCCTTCCTAAGCTTCTGTTGAGTTCCTACAAAGTTTTAGGCAAAGGTAGTATAGAAAACAGGCGAATAGTGACTACTCTGTTATTTCAACTGTAAATTTACTGAAGAACAGAGACACAATCCCCGCCACCCAAAAAGAAGGGGGTATAAAATAAAAATGAACTTTCTAAATACCGTAATGTGTCCAAGGGATAGTAAAGAAGTATGACTGAGGCAATTGGAAATGATTTCATGAAGGAGATTTGACGGGACATCAGCCTTAGTGGTAAGAGGATTTTCAGTGAATAAAGCAAGGAGGGCAATACTTAATGCTTCAATGTAGCTATTAAGTACCAAAATAACATAGCAGGCAATATCTTTTTCTATATTAAATACTAGAAAAGAGAATATAAAAATTATAAAGATGGGTAAAAACTATCTTTTTTATCAATGCTATTCTGTGTTTTATTTTAATATTTAAAATATTGAATTGACTTAAAATTTACTTATTCATAGAACTGGATTGCTTTGTTAGACTAAAATGAATTTCCTGATAATCATTTAGGATATCAATTACTTAGCTTAAATGAGGATATGACAATAAACTATAGTCTTTTTCTCAAAAACAGGTAGGTTTTTTTTTTTCCTGAAATTCTCCTCAATTAAGACCAATTACCCAAGCAAGCAATCCCTGTTCTTATTATCTTTCTAATTCATTTTTCTTATAAGAAACTAGTGTGGGAAGATGCTGTTCTATGCAATGAAGCAGTCCTTAGTGTTCCAAGGAGAACTCTGAGATCAAAGGGGAGGAGCCGAATAATGTCCTGTGTATAAAACTAACTGCACCATGCTTCCATTATGCCCTAAAACAAAGACCTTCTCATTTTTTTTGTCATGTTCCCATGTAGGACCCAAGTAAAATTGAGAGAATACTTAATTACTGTACACATTCAAAATATTCTTATTTCAACAGTTTAAAATTTAAGCTTAGTGATCTTTAGGATAGCTATTTAGGATTAAGATTTTATATAAAGAATTTAGTTTATCCTTCTATAATGACAGATCTCATATTGGCAATGGTATTATTACACTGTATTAGCTACTATAGTCAAGTATAACAATGTAATAATGAATTAAATCCATTAGCTTCTCAGACCTGAAAGAATTTCAACTCCAATTTTGAGTTTCTCAAATTTGTGTGAACCTATAAGATTTGCAATTTGAGCTGCCTTGTATAATTTGGGGCATAATTAGCATTTTGAAAACTGGAAGAACTAAAACCTTAGGTATAACTGGAAGGCCTTTGGATGTTGAGAAGGAAAAATATACAAATACAGAGAAATGTTGAGTTGTCCTAAAACCAAACAGTGCCTACATTTTTAAAATATGTGTTTAAAATCATGATCAAATAAATTGTTAGGTAGACAGGTTAATATTGTAATGGCATCCCACCAGAACATCTTTTAATGTATAACAAGGAGAGCTGAGCACAGAAAAAGACAAAACCCAGAAGCAAGTGCAAATATTTGAAAAAATGTCTGGTTTATATTGGCTCATCCCAAGCTTCTGGATATTATAATATTTCATTATTTGTATGAAAGGTATTTTGCTAATAATTCTTAAGACTTGGAAAAGTTAACGGACTTCTTATTAGTCCAGTATAAGGAATTTTTATGAATAATTTAATTTTGAAGTCATAAATATAATCTCACTATCCTCAACTGTCCACATGGTAGAAAGTATTTTCATTTCAAGAAATATCAAACTAAACAATAGAAATTAGAACTTACTCTTCAGATAAGGACAATGTTAGTTCTCACATACAGATTCTAAACGTCTAGTCTACTGGGATTTTCCTCTCTTTTTTTGCCTTTCTCTTTTTTTTTTCTTATTTGATATTTTTTCAGAATACATAAGTCTGGGTTTATTTTGAAGTAGCCAAGGAAAAATAAGGAGGAAATGTTTCTCTTAAATTCTTGCTATCAACTAAGAACCAACTCATGATAGAGAGTTATAGTCATTTCTTAACATAATTAAAGAAAAAGTGATAAATTAAAAGACCCTTTCCCTAAGAATTGCATGTATTTTTTATGTTACCTGGACCTTTGAAAGTACAATAGTACATGAGTAACATCAACAAAATACATACCTTCTGATGGCTTTCTCAGAGTATACAAAATTCACCAGGGTACATTTCCATGTGAAACAAATTTTCCATTAGACTTTATGTGCTAATTTACCCTGGCTTTTTTTTTACCCCCTCAGAGATACATCTGAGCTTTCCCATTTTGAGGATGAAAAAATACGTAGGAAGGAAAATTAGATATGATTGTCAAATTCCCTACAAACTCAAATTCAGTGACTACTAAGAGGAAGTGGAGGTTTTTTATTGTAGCATACAAAGACTGTAGCATTCTGCAAAAAAAAAAAAAAAAAAAAATTCTGAGTCATGGCACAAATTAAAAGAGAAACCACTCACTTATCACCCCAACATTCTAGCATCCTGTGGAAGATTCCAGAAGCCCTTTCTCTGAAGAGAAATGAAGAAAAGGCCACAGAATTTTCTGTGGAGGCTTGAGACAGCTCTTGGTCATGTCTCTTAACTTGTTCTTAGATTCAGTGTAGCAGGTTTATCCCAGAGGAAAATAGTTTAGCACATAAATACGTAGGGTAATTCCCAAATCACTAGAAAGTCAGCTATAGCACCTCATAAAATATTTATACTAAAGAAACAGTGTAGAAACTATTCAGTGCTCAATGCACTGAAAATTTTCACAAGAATTTAGCTTTTTAAAAAAATGCACGTTTCATACAAGTTTGACATGGTGCCACTTTGAAATGATTTCACTCAAGTTTACGATTTTTCCTTAGAGGGTTTTTGTCAAGTCATTTTTAAATATTCTTTATAACTGGACAAATACCCTGAATATTAAAACTCAAAACTGATTTAAGCTGGAAATTGTTTTTTTTCATACAAACTTTACTTACTAATTTTTACTATTCTCTTCTCTGTATTTTATCACTCCCATTCTCTATATAGATCTATTTTTCCCTCTTGAGACACATTTTTTAGACATCACGTCCTTTTAGCCCCAAATATTTCAATATAGGTTTCTAGAAATAAGGTCATTCTTTTACAAAATCATACTGGAATTATCTAATCCAGGCAATTTAACACTGACAAAATTCTAACACCTAATATCCAATATACTAGCAATCTTCTCTATTTGCCCTACTAAATCTCCTTTATGATACTTTAACCAATGAACCAAAAATTAATGCTTTTCTTTTGTCTTACTATGCTTTAATAATGGGGATACAACTTATAACTACACTAAACGTTCAGTACAATTAGTTATACTGTCTTGGCCTGGAATGGAGATAGAGAAAATATGCCAAACTCAAGGTTATTGAGTAAACAATTATCAGCCAAAGGGATTGATGGTTTTAAGGAAAAGAACACTTCATTTCAATATTGGATTATTAATTATCATTCTTCATGATAAACCAGACAAGAATATTTACATAAGGTTAAAAAAATGTGTTTGAGCTGGAGGTGTGGCTCCAGTAAGCAAAAAGACTTAATCTCAAATTCCATTATATAAACTAAAAAAAAAATGTTCCTTGGGGTGGAGGTGTGGCTCCAGATCAGTTGATTAGCAAGTGTGAGGCCCTGAAACAAACCCTAGTACTACTAAAAAAAAAAAACCCCAAAACAAAACACACACACACAAACACATATGCACACAAAAGAGCTTTCTCCCTTGGACAATTGTAGAGGTAAAAAACAGGTATGTTCTTTTGAGGATAATAGTGTCTGCTCTTTCCATGTACTTGAATATTGTCCCTTCTCATTTCATTTTCCAGCATACTTAATTGAATACTGTTATTAAAACAGGATACCTTCTGCCTGATGATGTCTGGGGAGTCACCTTATAATCATTTACAAATTCTTTAGTCCCATCGAAATTGTATCTTTCCTTTCAAAATATAATTATGCTAAAAACATGTTGATCTTTGATGTCAAACAGAGGATAAATTCTGGTTCCTACTCTCACTAGTGGTATGATCTTAAGTCAATTATTAAACCTTTCTCACAAAGCAATCATTCTGCAGATCATGGTGGCTATTGATATTTTGGAAGCAATAAATGTTCTACTTTTAGGCCATGTTAATCACATGGGCCTTTACAGCCCAGAAATCTGGTCTCTGTTCCAAGTTCTTCACTCACTGACCTTTAGATGTGGGATAAATTTCTCCATCTTCCTAAGTTCTGATTTATTTATGTGTAAAAAGAAATTAATAATGATAACTACCATATAACAAGTGCCTTAATGCATGTTACCAATCTACTTAAAGAATATTTTGACCTGATGTTTATTTCCATAAAACATAATTTCCTGTATGCACCTCTTCTTTTCCTGGACTTTGTGTTTTTATGTACATACTCTTTCAGTTTTGCTTTGACTTATTAGACTAATATCAGTTAAAACCCCAGTATAATTGTGATGCTTTGCCCATCCTTTTCATCTTTTACTCTTTTTAACCACCCTCTTCAGATAATGGCTGATATTCACTATCAAAAAATGAACAGGGTAGAAAAGACTGTGAGCCAAACAGTTGAGGTGAAGCTAGAAATGTAAATACACATAATGCCAAAGTAGAGTTTGTTCTAATTAAATGAACTCAACTGCCTTTCACCAGGTTACTGGTCATCATGATTAATCTTTAATCTAATAGTCAGAGACAGCAGGCTAAGTGAACCAAAAATAGAAGAGGCTGCTTTCAAATGTAGCACGGGAACCCAAA